GGTCGTCTCACAATCACCTTGCCGATTACTGTTCTGTCTGTCTGCCTGTCAATCGGTCTATCTGCCTATCTGCCTCACTGTCCTTCTGTCTGTTTGTCTGTTCGTCTACCGTCTGTCTTTCCACCTCACAACCTCCATCACACACTCTCACTCTCCATACATTTACACTTAACCACTTCACAATCACACAACATTCATTGATCACTCGACACGCACAACTCAATCTCATTTCATTACTCTCATTGTCAAGTGCAATATTCGAGTGTGTGTGTGTGTGTGTTTGTATGTGCATTGACCAGTTGACTCACTCTTTTCAATCAATCACCTTGTAGATAACGGAGGAGATGTTGACAGTGGTCATCAACCCAACGACAATTATAACCACAGTGAGTATTCATCATTCATTTGTATAACTGTAATTTCATGCTGTTTGCTTCATCTCACACACGTGTCAACTATCTGCACCGTACAACTACACACAAACACATTAATTCATACACATACAACCACACACACTCACACACTTATCAATACACAAACGAACATTGTGAAACACACTCAATCATTCACTCACTCACTCACACACTCACACACTCATTCATTCATTCACTCAATCTCTCACTCACTCACTCACTCACTCACTCAAACATCCTATCAATCAGTCAATCAATCCATCAATCTCTCTATTCCATTCACCTCAATTCTCCACATACACAACCATCAAACCTCCCACATGGAACACATTTCACAATCAAATCAATCATTGCTTCAATCACATCCCTCTACATATACCACATTCCCTCCATCTATATTTATATGACAATATGTACATTTATAAATACTCACATGTATTAATTGATTTTCATATAGTGGAATCGCACAAATTCCCCATTCTCATCTCACCATCGCTCACAATCTACCTCTCCATTCACAACAACAACAACGTCGGTCGTCTCACAATCACCTTGCCGATTACTGTTCTGTCTGTCTGCCTGTCAATCGGTCTATCTGCCTATCTGCCTCACTGTCCTTCTGTCTGTTTGTCTGTTCGTCTACCGTCTGTCTTTCCACCTCACAACCTCCATCACACACTCTCACTCTCCATACATTTACACTTAACCACTTCACAATCACACAACATTCATTGATCACTCGACACGCACAACTCAATCTCACTTGATTACTCTCATTGTCAAGTGCAATATTCGAGTGTGTGTGTGTGTGTGTTTGTATGTGCATTGACCAGTTGACTCACTCTTTTCAATCAATCACCTTGTAGATAACGGAGGAGATGTTGACAGTGGTGATCAACCCAACGACAATTATAACCACAGTGAGTATTCATCATTCATTTGTATAACTGTAATTTCATGCTGTTTGCTTCATCTCACACACGTGTCAACCATCTCCACCGTACAACTACACACAAACACATTAATTCATACACATACAACCACACACACTCACACACTTATCAATACACAAACGAACATTGTGAAACACACTCAATCATTCACTCACTCACTCACACACTCACACACTCATTCATTCATTCACTCAATCTCTCACTCACTCACTCACTCACTCACTCAAACATCCTATCAATCAGTCAATCAATCCATCAATCTCTCTATTCCATTCACCTCAATTCTCCACATACACAACCATCAAACCTCCCACATGGAACACATTTCACAATCAAATCAATCATTGCTTCAATCACATCCCTCTACATATACCACATTCCCTCCATCTATATTTATATGACAATATGTACATTTATAAATACTCACATGTATAAATTGATTTTCATATAGTGGAATCGCACAAATTCCCCATTCTCATCTCACCATCGCTCACAATCTACCTCTCCATTCACAACAACAACAACGTCGGTCGTCTCACAATCACCTTGCCGATTACTGTTCTGTCTGTCTGCCTGTCAATCGGTCTATCTGCCTATCTGCCTCACTGTCCTTCTGTCTGTTTGTCTGTTCGTCTACCGTCTGTCTTTCCACCTCACAACCTCCATCACACACTCTCACTCTCCATACATTTACACTTAACCACTTCACAATCACACAACATTCATTGATCACTCGACACGCACAACTCAATCTCACTTGATTACTCTCATTGTCAAGTGCAATATTCGAGTGTGTGTGTGTGTGTGTTTGTATGTGCATTGACCAGTTGACTCACTATTTTCAATCAATCACCTTGTAGATAACGGAGGAGATGTTGACAGTGGTCATCAACCCAACGACAATTATAACCACAGTGAGTATTCATCATTCATTTGTATAACTGTAATTTCATGCTGTTTGCTTCATCTCACACACGTGTCAACTATCTGCACCGTACAACTACACACAAACACATTAATTCATACACATACAACCACACACACTCACACACTTATCAATACACAAACGAACATTGTGAAACACACTCAATCATTCACTCACTCACTCACACACTCACACACTCATTCATTCATTCACTCAATCTCTCACTCACTCACTCACTCACTCACTCAAACATCCTATCAATCAGTCAATCAATCCATCAATCTCTCTATTCCATTCACCTCAATTCTCCACATACACAACCATCAAACCTCCCACATGGAACACATTTCACAATCAAATCAATCATTGCTTCAATCACATCCCTCTACATATACCACATTCCCTCCATCTATATTTATATGACAATATGTACATTTATAAATACTCACATGTATAAATTGATTTTCATATAGTGGAATCGCACAAATTCCCCATTCTCATCTCACCATCGCTCACAATCTACCTCTCCATTCACAACAACAACGTCGGTCGTCTCACAATCACCTTGCCGATTACTGTTCTGTCTGTCTGCCTGTCAATCGGTCTATCTGCCTATCTGCCTCACTGTCCTTCTGTCTGTTTGTCTGTTCGTCTACCGTCTGTCTTTCCACCTCACAACCTCCATCACACACTCTCACTCTCCATACATTTACACTTAACCACTTCACAATCACACAACATTCATTGATCACTCGACATGCACAACTCAATCTCACTTGATTACTCTCATTGTCAAGTGCAATATTCGAGTGTGTGTGTGTGTGTGTTTGTATGTGCATTGACCAGTTGACTCACTATTTTCAATCAATCACCTTGTAGATAACGGAGGAGATGTTGACAGTGGTGATCAACCCAACGACAATTATAACCACAGTGAGTATTCATCATTCATTTGTATAACTGTAATTTCATGCTGTTTGCATTATCTCACACACGTGTCAGCTATCTGCACCGTACAACTACACACAAACACATTAATTCATACACATACAACCACACACACTCACACACTTATCAATACACACACAAACATTGTGAAACACACTCAATCAATCACTCACTCACTCACTCACCCACTCAAACATCCTATCAATCAGTCAATCAATCCATCAATCTCTCTATTCCATTCACCTCAATTCTCCACATACACAACCATCAAACCTCCCACATGGAACACATTTCACATTCAAATCAATCATTGCTTCAATCACATCCCTCTACATATACCACATTCCCTCCATCTATATTTATATGACAATATGTACATTTATAAATACTCACATGTATAAATTGATTTTCATATAGTGGAATCGCACAAATTCCCCATTCTCATCTCACCATCGCTCACAATCTACCTCTCCATTCACAACAACAACAACGTCGGTCGTCTCACAATCACCTTGCCGATTACTGTTCTGTCTGTCTGCCTGTCAATCGGTCTATCTGCCTATCTGCCTCACTGTCCTTCTGTCTGTTTGTCTGTTCGTCTACCGTCTGTCTTTCCACCTCACAACCTCCATCACACACTCTCACTCTCCATACATTTACACTTAACCAATTCACAATCACACAACATTCATTGATCACTCGACACGCACAACTCAATCTCATTTCATTACTCTCATTGAATAGTGCAATATTCGTGTGTGTGTGTGTGTGTGTGCGTGCATTGATCAGTTGACTGACTCTTTTCAATCAATCACCTTGTAGATAACGGAGGAGATGTTGACAGTGGTCATCAACCCAACGACAATTATAACCACAGTGAGTATTCATCATTCATTTGTATAACTGTAATTTCATGCTGTTTGCTTCATCTCACACACGTGTCAACTATCTGCACCGTACAACTACACACAAACACATTAATTCATACACATACAACCACACACACTCACACACTTATCAATACACAAACGAACATTGTGAAACACACTCAATCATTCACTCACTCACTCACACACTCACACTCACACACTCATTCACTCAATCTCTCACTCACTCACTCACTCACTCAAACATCCTATCAATCAGTCAATCAATCCATCAATCTCTCTATTCCATTCACCTCAATTCTCCACATACACAACCATCAAACCTCCCACATGGAACACATTTCACTATCAAATCAATCATTGCTTCAATCACATCCCTCTACATATACCACATTCCCTCCATCTATATTTATATGACAATATGTACATTTATAAATACTCACATGTATAAATTGATTTTCATATAGTGGAATCGCACAAATTCCCCATTCTCATCTCACCATCGCTCACAATCTCCCTCTCCGTTCACAACAACAACAACGTCGGTCGTCTCACAATCACCTTGCCGATTACTGTTCTGTCTGTCTGCCTGTCAATCGGTCTATCTGCCTATCTGCCTCACTGTCCTTCTGTCTGTTTGTCTGTTCGTCTACCGTCTGTCTTTCCACCTCACAACCTCCATCACACACTCTCACTCTCCATACATTTACACTTAACCAATTCACAATCACACAACATTCATTGATCACTCGACACGCACAACTCAATCTCACTTGATTACTCTCATTGTCAAGTGCAATATTCGAGTGTGTGTGTGTGTGTTTGTATGTGCATTGACCAGTTGACTCACTCTTTTCAATCAATCACCTTGTAGATGTTGGTGTAAATGCTGACGGTGGTGATCAAGGTGGTGATCAAGGTGTTGATCAAGGTGTTGATCAAGGTGTTGATCAAGGTGGTGATCAACCCAACGACAATGATAAAGACGGTGAGTATTCCATCATTCATTTGCATCACTGTAATTTCATGCTGTTTGCATTATCTCACACACTTGTCAACTATCTGCACCGTACAACTACACACAAACACACTAATTCATACACATACATCCACACACTCACACACTTATCAATACACACACAAACATTGTGAAACACACTCACTCACTCACTCACTCACTCACACAGTCACTCACTCACTCAATCACACACCCACTCACCCACTCAAACACTCATTCACTCAATCTCTCACTCACTCACTCACTCACTCAAACATCCTATCAATCAGTCAATCAATCCATCAATCTCTCTATTCCATTCACCTCAATTCTCCACATACACAACCATCAAACCTCCCACATGGAACACATTTCACTATCAAATCAATCATTGCTTCAATCACATCCCTCTACATATACCACATTCCCTCCATCTATATCTATATGACAATATGTACATTTATAAATACTCACATGTATAAATTGATTTTCATATAGTGGAATCGCACAAATTCCCCATTCTCATCTCACCATCGCTCACAATCTACCTCTACATTCACAACAACAACAACGTCGGTCGTCTCACAATCACCTTGCCGATTACTGTTCTGTCTGTCTGCCTGTCAATCGGTCTATCTGCCTATCTGCCTCACTGTCCTTCTGTCTGTTTGTCTGTTCGTCTACCGTCTGTCTTTCCACCTCACAACCTCCATCACACACTCTCACTCTCCATACATTTACACTTAACCACTTCACAATCACACAACATTCATTGATCACTCGACACGCACAACTCAATCTCATTTCATTACTCTCATTGTCAAGTGCAATATTCGAGTGTGTGTGTGTGTGTGTTTGTATGTGCATTGATCAGTTGACTGACTCTTTTCAATCAATCACCTTGTAGATAACGGAGGAGATGTTGACAGTGGTCATCAACCCAACGACAATTATAACCACAGTGAGTATTCATCATTCATTTGTATAACTGTAATTTCATGCTGTTTGCTTCATCTCACACACGTGTCAACTATCTGCACCGTACAACTACACACAAACACATTAATTCAAACACATACAACCACACACACTCACACACATATCAATACACAAACGAACATTGTGAAACACACTCAATCATTCACTCACTCACTCACACACTCACACACTCATTCATTCATTCACTCAATCTCTCACTCACTCACTCACTCACCCACTCAAACATCCTATCAATCAGTCAATCAATCCATCAATCTCTCTATTCCATTCACCTCAATTCTCCACATACACAACCATCAAACCTCCCACATGGAACACATTTCACTATCAAATCAATCATTGCTTCAATCACATCCCTCTACATATACCACATTCCCTCCATCTATATTTATATGACAATATGTACATTTATAAATACTCACATGTATAAATTGATTTTCATATAGTGGAATCGCACAAATTCCCCATTCTCATCTCACCATCGCTCACAATCTACCTCTCCGTTCACAACAACAACAACGTCGGTCGTCTCACAATCACCTTGCCGATTACTGTTCTGTCTGTCTGCCTGTCAATCGGTCTATCTGCCTATCTGCCTCACTGTCCTTCTGTCTGTTTGTCTGTTCGTCTACCGTCTGTCTTTCCACCTCACAACCTCCATCACACACTCTCACTCTCCATACATTTACACTTAACCAATTCACAATCACACAACATTCATTGATCACTCGACACGCACAACTCAATCTCACTTGATTACTCTCATTGTCAAGTGCAATATTCGAGTGTGTGTGTGTGTGTGTTTGTATGTGCATTGACCAGTTGACTCACTCTTTTCAATCAATCACCTTGTAGATGTTGGTGTAGATGCTGACGGTGTTGATCAAGGTGTTGATCAAGGTGGTGATCAACCCAACGACAATGATAAAGACGGTGAGTATTCCATCATTCATTTGCATCACTGTAATTTCATGCTGTTTGCATTATCTCACACACTTGTCAACTATCTGCACCGTACAACTGCACACAAACACACTAATTCATACACATACATCCACACACTCACACACTTATCAATACACACACAAACATTGTGAAACACACTCACTCACTCACACAGTCACTCACTCACTCAATCACCCACCCACTCACCCACTCATTCATTCATTCACTCAATCTCTCACTCACTCTATCATCCTATCAATCCATCTATCAACCAATAAACCAATCAACCAACAATTCAACCAATCCATCATTCCATCACTCAATCAATCTCTCTATTCCATTCACCTCAATTCTCCACATACACAACCATCAAACCTCCCACATGGAACACATTTCACTATCAAATCAATCATTGCTTCAATCACATCCCTCTACATATACCACATTCCCTCCATCTATATTTATATGACAATATGTACATTTATAAATACTCACATGTATTAATTGATTTTCATATAGTGGAATCGCACAAATTCCCCATTCTCATCTCACCATCGCTCACAATCTACCTCTCCATTCACAACAACAACGTCGGTCGTCTCACAATCACCTTGCCGATTACTGTTCTGTCTGTCTGCCTGTCAATCGGTCTATCTGCCTATCTGCCTCACTGTCCTTCTGTCTGTTTGTCTGTTCGTCTACCGTCTGTCTTTCCACCTCACAACCTCCATCACACACTCTCACTCTCCATACATTTACACTTAACCACTTCACAATCACACAACATTCATTGATCACTCGACACGCACAACTCAATCTCATTTGATTACTCTCATTGAATAGTGCAATATTCGAGTGTGTGTGTGTGTGTTTGTATGTGCATTGACCAGTTGACTCACTCTTTTCAATCAATCACCTTGTAGATAACGGAGGAGATGTTGACAGTGGTGATCAACCCAACGACAATTATAACCACAGTGAGTATTCATCATTCATTTGTATAACTGTAATTTCATGCTCTTTGCTTCATCTCACACACGTGTCAACTATCTGCACCGTACAACTACACACAAACACATTAATTCATACACATACAACCACACACACTCACACACTTATCAATACACAAACGAACATTCTGAAACACACTCAATCATTCACTCACTCACACACACACTCATTCACTCAATCTCTCACTCACTCACTCACTCAAACATCCTATCAATCAGTCAATCAATCCATCAATCTCTCTATTCCATTCACCTCAATTCTCCACATACACAACCATCAAACCTCCCACATGGAACACATTTCACTATCAAATCAATCATTGCTTCAATCACATCCCTCTACATATACCACATTCCCTCCATCTATATCTATATGACAATATGTACATTTATAAATACTCACATGTATAAATTGATTTTCATATAGTGGAATCGCACAAATTCCCCATTCTCATCTCACCATCGCTCACAATATACCTCTCCATTCACAACAACAACGTCGGTCGTCTCACAATCACCTTGCCGATTACTGTTCTGTCTATCTGCCTGTCAATCGGTCTATCTGCCTATCTGCCTCACTGTCCTTCTGTCTGTTTGTCTGTTCGTCTACTGTCTGTCTTTCCACCTCACAACCTCCATCACACACTCTCACTCTCCATACATTTACACTTAACCAATTCACAATCACACAACATTCATTGATCACTCGACACGCACAACTCAATCTCACTTGATTACTCTCATTGTCAAGTGCAATATTCGAGTGTGTGTGTGTGTGTGTTTGTATGTGCATTGACCAGTTGACTCACTCTTTTCAATCAATCACCTTGTAGATGTTGGTGTAAATGCTGACGGTGGTGATCAAGGTGGTGATCAAGGTGTTGATCAAGGTGTTGATCAAGGTGGTGATCAACCCAACGACAATGATAAAGACGGTGAGTATTCCATCATTCATTTGCATCACTGTAATTTCATGCTGTTTGCATTATCTCACACACTTGTCAACTATCTGCACCGTACAACTACACACAAACACATTAATTCATACACATACAACCACACACTCACACACTTATCAATACACACACAAACATTGTGAAACACACTCACTCACACAGTCACTCACTCACTCACTCAATCACACACCCACTCACCCACTCATTCATTCATTCACTCAATCTCTCACTCACTCTATCATCCTATCAATCCATCTATCAACCAATAAACCAATCAACCAACAATTCAACCAATCCATCATTCCATCACTCAATCAATCTCTCTATTCCATTCACCTCAATTCTCCACATACACAACCATCAAACCTCCCACATGGAACACATTTCACAATCAAATCAATCATTGCTTCAATCACATCCCTCTACATATACCACATTCCCTCCATCTATATCTATATGACAATATGTACATTTATAAATACTCACATGTATAAATTGATTTTCATATAGTGGAATCGCACAAATTCCCCATTCTCATCTCACCATCGCTCACAATCTACCTCTCCATTCACAACAACAACGTCGGTCGTCTCACAATCACCTTGCCGATTACTGTTCTGTCTGTCTGCCTGTCAATCGGTCTATCTGCCTATCTGCCTCACTGTCCTTCTGTCTGTTTGTCCACCGTCTGTCTTTCCACCTCACAACCTCCATCAAACACTCTCACTCTCCGTACATTCACACTTAACTACTTCACAATCACACAACATTCATTGATCACTCGACACGCACAACTCAATCTCATTTGATTACTCTCATTGAATAGTGCAATATTCGAGTGTGTGTGTGTTTGTATGTGCATTGACCAGTTGACTCACTCTTTTCAATCAATCACCTTGTAGATAACGGAGGAGATATTTCCTTTGGAGGAATATTCTAGAATCACTACGTGTAGCTCCCTATTGAACAAATGCTAATATCTCGCTGTGTGCGGATTGGATAACCATAATATGATTTCGTTTTTTCTAAATATTATAAATGCCTGACTGTTTTTTACCATAATTGACATCGTTTGGAATATTATTCCTTCCATTTATCTTCTGTCTTCTCATTTTGTGACTTAGGAAATATCTAGCGTTCAAGTTCTCAAGTTATAAGCGACATACTAAGCATCTAAGTTCGAGATATAACATACCTCTGGGCAAAAGTCTTCTTAACTTCCATATAACCTGGGTATGAAAACGTGAAAACTGAAACAGTCAATAGTTGTATTCATAGACGTTGTCGCAAATTTTTTTAGTCTTATTCATTATCTTATTTGAATAAGTGAAAAGAGTTTAAGTACAGCGCAAATAATTTGTGAGAAAAGAGTAGAGGTACGAAGTATATATGTATCAAATCGTTTCAGAATTGAAGTTGGAATGGAATAAAGATTAGATGTCATATGACTTCAATATTGTAGAAGTTCCTTGAAAAATAAGTAAAAACTGATAACAAAATCAATTATTGGCGAACCAAACTGTGTATGCTACTTAAGTCGACAGATATAAGTAGTATGTAACATAGATCGGATGTAGGAAACTTTGGCAGAAGAAGGCTATCAAAATGTCAACTTGAACAAAAGAGAAACGTAGACAGAAAAATGTTGTGACTCGGAAGAATCATACAGAATGTAAAGGAAAAACAATGGAATTTCGTAAATGAAGTAATCAATGTATGGTTGCAAGACATTCTGTAATTTTATATTAAAATACATTGGTTGTCTATAGCTGCATTCTCGTTTACAACAAAACAATTACTCATTACTGATTGCGCCTGTTACTCCTCGTTTAGGAGCATAGGCCGCCCACCAGCATTCTCGATCCAACCCTGTCCTGGGCAATCCTTTCCAGTTGTTCTTCATCCTTTTCATATCTGTTTCTAGTTCCCGGCGTAATATGTTCTTTGTCCATTCTCTTTTCCTCTCTCATTCAGGATTCCAAGTAAGGGCTTGCCTTGTGATGCAGATTGATGATTTCCGTAATGTATGTCCGATCCCTTTCAAATGTCTTTTTCTAGTCTCCTCTTCGGCTGGAAGCTGGTTTGTTCTCTCTCACAGAAGGAAAATTTCGGCTTATTTATGTATAATTGTGGTTTTTCATTTTATGATGGTATTGTGCCACAAAATGCTTGCATACTAGCCCACATATATATATATATATATTGGAATCTAATAATAACAATAATCATGATCATAGTAATACTAAACTGGCTTCTAACTTCTCTTTGACTCTAAGGCATAAGGATAGATATAGGTTTCAATATAACGAAATAATAGCAATGCAAATCGTGTCGGCTAAATGCTAACGCTGCATGTCAGACGTATGATTGGTTAAGTCTAGTACACTAGTCTCTTATACAAAATAGTAGCCCTAAAATGCCCTGGTACAGCCGAAAGTGGGGAGAGTTAGCGGTCCCTCTCAAAATGGTCTCACATGGCCACGCGTATATAGCCTCTGCCAGGGAAGTCATACTCACTGCCTTCTCGTGGCACCGGTGTTCTTTACGGAATAGAGAGGACGAAAAGCGAATGTCCGGCGCTTTTTAACCGGGTTGGTGGATATGGAGGATTCACCTAGGGGAGTTGAGAAATCCTAATTCCAAACCAATGGTGCACATGGGCTCCAGTATCTTGAAGGAACAAATAACGTATAAATCAATTGTTAATCACCGGCTACCATGGGACTGCATCTCCTCACGATGCTTCACTACCTTGTGGATTAGACCTTAAGGTCAAATTCTAGGGCTGTGGCTCCCTAAGAAAACCACCTACTTTGGTTTGGGCACCCGGGTAGTATCACAGCCCTCACACAAATCAAATGAGATTTGTATGGCGCATATATATCTGGTTCCTCTTTGTACCAATATCTACATGTTCAAATAAATAAATAAATAAAAGCTACAATAATAATTTGGATTGGTGATACGTGATATCAATTAGTGTTCCAAGTCATAACACTTCATTTCATAGCATTCCTATTCATCTACAAATCATATTGTCTATATTGAATACTTACAACTACAAATGATTAATGTTACGACTGCGACTACTCAATGGCATTATTCTTGATCATTTCAATTTAAGGAGTTAATATTGCCCGACCACTTGGACAGATCCATATATATGTGCCAGATTTTACGTTGATTATGACTGATTGACCATTATATAACGAATAGAAACAACAGTCAAGTAATTTATACACATAACCATGCTTAAACTACTTACTTACTTATGCCTGTTACTCCCAATGGAGTATAGGCCACTGACCAGCATTCTCCAATCAACTCTATCCTGGACCTTCTTTACTAGTTCTATCCAGTTTTACTTAAACTAGTTGTTTATTATTAATCAACTATTCAGTACATATACTTCGTTCTAATAAGAATTATAACAAGGAAATTCATTACGAAAACAGGAAATTATTATTATTATGAAAGTGTAATGGATGTTTAAAAAAAAGGCATCTCAGATAAGCAGAATAGTTGAAAACAAAAGCAAAGCAAAGATAAGAATGGTAAAAAGGAAATTATTGACAAAACATATGCACTACTTATATCTATGATAGTAGTAATAGTCATGGCAATAGTTATCATCATTACCATAATTAATAACCACAATGATATTTGATTCATATATTGACAAAGTTAAGAATATCATATAACGCATTACCCCTGCCCCCCCCCAATTCTTCACTTAAACTCAGTACGTATACACAATACAATCAACCGTTAGCGACAAAAAGTATAGAATGATAAGTAAACAAAGAACAAAGAAGAAAAACAACAGGAAAACAAAGAACTAATCGCCAACATCGTTTGAAGCCAACAAAAACTCACTCCAATCCTTCAATCTGTTAAAGTGTTAGGGAACAGTAGATGGTTGGATTAGATTAGAAGAGTGGAACACCGCTATCTATGTGTTTATCCATTAGTAGTGGTAGTAATAGTAGTAGTAGTAGTAGTATTGTTTATTTCAATGGACAACTGTTTAGCTGTTTGAATTAATCTTTTTAATGCTGGTCCATAACATTGAATATCTGATAATTGTATTGCAGATTGTATAAATAAATTAATTTGTTGTAAAGCATTTATATAATCATTAGATTCAATGGAATGAATACAGTGATGTAAATATTCCATTGATGGAGGATTTAATTGTAATTGACCAGTAGATATATTCATAAAGAATTGATTCAGACGATGTTCAACATCCGTTAATTTTTGACGATTATGCTGAAGGAACAAGAAAACAATAAAAAATAGTTGGGCGCTGAAAGTATAGAGATACAATGATATGTGGAAATGATAGATGAAATAATCTCAATAATTGAAATCTAAATGATTGCAACATTTCGTCCACCCAGGGTGAGTGCAGGATTAGGGTCGTGCCAGTCTTGTAAAAGTACTTCGCGATTCGAAGGTGCAAAGCACATACCATATCTACGGACTCTAATTGCCAACTGATGAAGTGTGGATTGCATGGCTTGAGCATTATCACACAATGATACAATATCATCCGCATACTGAAGGTTGAGAAGTCTTTCTCCAGGTAACAGATCCACACCGTCATTACTTACATCCATCCGAGCTGTTTCCAAAACGTCGTCGATTGCAAAGTTGATGAGGAATGGTGAGATTGGGCAACTCCGTCTAACCCTACTGCTTGAATCAAACAATGGAGAGAGGGGGTTGTATGCACTGACTCTACCTGAGGTGTTTTTATATAGGACTTCTAAGATACTGATAAACTTTTCAGGCACACCCTTCTTCAATAGACGATCCCACAGAACAGACCTATCCAACGAATTGAAGGCAATTGTCATGAAATACTACGATTGTTGACCTGTGGTAGGTATGACGATGTTCTAACATTTGGTCAATACATTCCCCGATAGTTGTTAGAGAAACGACGTGAACATGAGTGGGGACAATCGGATGTATTTTAGCACAATATTTGACTGTTTCTTCTGCAAATATCCGTCCATAGTCTCCGATTATAATTTTTCATTCATTTTCGTACTAATTGCGTGTCATTCCCGTCCTCTCCTTATGGATCTTCTATTGAAATACATTCAATGCCCGACCATCACGATATACTACTTATATGGATATTAGTAATTGGGCGATACAATGAAAAGTGAAAATTATACATGATGAAACAATCTCAGTGATTGAAATCTAAATGATTCTAATATTTCGTCTAACGAACCTGTCTGAGCTTCTTCATGCTAAGTTACGTTCATAAAATAAAGTTACAGCAGGATCACCACTGGCTTCTATTCTGAGCCATATCTGATAATGTCTCTAGTCAGTGTTGCACCATCTCGAGGACCCAAACGAAAGGGTCATAAAGGACTAACAGAAGCCAGTCCTTTGCAACTTTGTTTTATACCAAGACACCATGTCACACACTGAACAACCAGCCTCAGCAAATAATGCACGACGTGCAATCCTCTGGGAAGAGATTCGTAGAGCATGTCCAAGCCACCGGAGTCAATGTTTCAAGATAGTGACACCAATTGGATTATTGTCGCTGTAACCGAACACACGATGCCGAACCTCTGCATTACTAACATGGTGTTGCCACTAGATGTCAGCAATCTTTCGGAAACAACGATGATCAAACACAGAGTCGTCTAACATCCTCTATTCGGAGAGGCTAGGTTTCATAAGCATAGAACAAAACTGCTCTCATAGACGCGTTGTAGATCCAAACTGACCACTATTCAGTGATCAATCAACTGTGAATTTTAATAATTTTTTACTAAAATAGTGGTGGGATTATTGTTTATTTCAATTCTGTACCTTCAAGACCTGTGTCATCATGTTTAAGTCTGATTCATGAATGAAGAACATCTTAGATTTACAACTTCATTTCAAACAACAATAAAAAATCACGTAAGTATTGTGCATAGATTAGTCCATTATCAAAGTAACATTCAGATAAACACACTTACTTTGTCACCAACTTTACGACAATTTTGAATTAAGTCAAATAACACTTTTTGTATGGGTTGGAATTCCGTCGGCAATGAATAATTATTAATATTATTGGGATCGGTGTTTAAACTTGTAGAATCCAAATTATGTAGTGACTGTGCATCATTATGGTCATTATTTGAAGAATTGAAAGAATTTGATGATATGGCATTTTCAACAATAGTTTGATTGATAATCCCAGATTTAACAGTATTAGACAAAGGTTGAGCTGCAGGCCAAATATTAAATTGAGAGTAAGGGTTCGGTGGAACGACTGACGACATAGGTGGTAGTGATGACGATATATTGGAAAACTGAGAAGTTTGTTCAACCGATGGCTGGAAATAATTTGGGTACTGTTCTTGTTGGTGAGGCACTCCTTGTACTTGTGAATACGATGGCTGTTGAATTGGCGGTCTCATGAGTGATGATGATGATTGCTGTTGAACATGGGTCGGTAACGGTGGCAAGGGCTGCTGAGGATGAATTATATCAGCATTTATAGGTGGGATAGAATTTTGAACTGGTGGTGGTGGTAGTGGTGCAGGTTGACATACGTTTAATCCAGTAACAGGATATCCTGGTGGTAAAGGAGGATTTGAAGTTGTGTATAGTTCCGTCATTGGTTGAGGAAAATTCGACGGTGATACGGAATTATTCGGTTGAGGTAAAGGTGAATTAACAAATTCCATAGGATTATAATAAGGGTTGTGTGAAACGGTTGTCTAGAAAAAAATGTAAACATTTGTAGATACATCAGTCAACATTTGGCTAGAATACACACACGCACACTAAGTATATTCGTGTAGTTCGTAGATATAATAGCACTTTTCATGAAGGAAATTCCTGTCACAACTTTTACGCAAGATTTGACAGATGTTGAACAATTCATTAGGACACAAATAACCGAAAATGGAGCTGACCTAACTCGCTCTATTACTACGAATATGATCTTGCTCATAAACCTTCACAATTTCCGATAATACACCCTCATAAGTCATCCAGAATAAACAGAAACTCAAGATTCTACACCCTGAAGTCATGGTTTATGATATTTCATCAACCCATCCACATATAACTATCAAGACAGCAAATATACTTCAGTGGTGAAGTTGATGGGGATATTTGCAGATACCGACATCAGTGGCCCTTAAAAAACATCATATTCAGATTATCGGTTAACCTCTTAGATATCAATCAACTTAACTTATATGTTATTTTTACCAAATACATCTTTCTAATAAATTTTCACTTTTTCATTGGCTCTGTATATTTATTAGACTTTAAATGTCGTAGTATTCAAGTTATTAGTTCATAAAGAATCTTCGAACCAATGTACATCACTGGTTTGGAATCAGGGTTTTCCAATTCCTCTTTATCAGTCCACTGCACCAACTAAATCGACCTTTCGATTTCGTAAACACCATCCTACCATTTGAAGGCAATAAACAGAACTACCCTGTTCGTGGCTATATACGTGTAGCCATATGAGAGTATTTTGAATGGGAGAGCGGACTGTCTCCACCCGCGGATATGCAAAGCTATTTGGCATTTAGCATAAAGCTAAATTCCACACGAAATGGGACTCAACAATAACAACAAAATTGATATCACTAGTAATGAAACAACATACTTGGCGTGGTTTATCAGTTGTTAAGATAGGTGGATCATTCCAACCTGGTGTCATCATTGATGATTGATGCTGTTTTTGTGGTAATGTCGGTAGAAGTGGTCGCATTTGTTGTTGATTGTGTTCTTGCTGCTGTTGAACATTGAATTGGGGAGTGGGTGTTGGCATACCATAAGGCATAGTGTTTAATGATTGAAAACTAGGAGGCATTGATCCACCAATGTTATGCCCAAAGTTTGTAATCATTTGGGCTGATTGTGCTGGTGGTGATGCAGGCACTGGCGGCATTAACACATTAGACATACTAAATAATAAAAATCAAAGAAGATGAAGTCTTTTAGTGTATATACACGTATGCAAGTGTAACCAACTCGGTTAAAGCACCAGAAATTCGCTTTTCGTCTTCTCAATTTCGTAAACAACACCCGTGGTGCGAGAAGGCGGTGAGTAGGACTTCCCTGACAGAGGCTATATACGCGTGGCCATGTGAGAGCATTTGGAGAGGGAGAGCGAACTCTCCCCACTCTCGGACGTACCAGGGCATTTGTCAACAAAGCAAATTATTGGAGAAATACTAATCGATCAAACTTTTTTTAACTGCTGACAATGTTGCCTAGGCAAACTAACACTGAACATTTTATAATCAAACCATACAGCACAGAATACAAAAACAATCCTACCAAAATATTTTGATAGAGTTGAAATACTTTGAAAATCTAACCTTTTTCGGCATTAAAAAGCATCATAACAAACATTCACAAACATAAATTAGGTTTCGGCATTTTGTTTATTGGTTGTTTAGAGTTCCTTATCATATCTTTAGGTAAACTACTTTATGGTTCTTTACTTAAGATTGTATACAGACTTTTTATACAATTGTGTCTGTTTAATGCAGTGAAATAGTTTCAGTTAACGTGAAGTGATGCCTCAGTACTAAAGACCTTCAACACCCAGTTATTAAGTTGTAAGTTCGAAACCTATTACATCTAATTCGTTTAAAGCAAACAAGAAGTGGTTACCAGTAACCCTTACCATTTAAAGGGTACCTTAAAGAAAAGTACAAGAGGATTTATCGGATAGACAAAAAACTAGAAGCATAGCATAGACAATAAAAACAACATATTCAATCCGGATCATGTATCAGAACTAAAACTTCACTGAAGGTGGTTTCTCTACCAAAAGAAAACAGAACACCCTATAACTTGATTTGGATTGATCTGAATTATTCCGTTGTTGATCATTTTGATCAGTATCAACTGGCATACAAGTATCCTAACGAGACTGACTGAATATTGTCATTATGACACAAACGGATAAAGAATGCATTTAGCAGTGGAATCCAGGATGCGCGTTCAATCTTATTCGGAACTTTTCAGACAGATTACAACGAAGAATAATCAAATTTCAATGAAAATATCAACAACCAGATTAATCTAAAACTACTACAAATTAAATTACAATTCATAACCATCGATCAAATGATTAACTATCTACACTCAGTAGCTAAGTGGATAATGTAATGACATTTGAAGTGAACAGTATTGAATTACAGTTGTGAATAGGATGTGTGCACATCTAGCTGATGAGCCCCGAGTAGGACAAAACGCGCATTTCAAATTTCCTTGCTGATCACACTTCGTCCTATTTTTAGAACACACTATAGATAACTGCAACTAAAAGCCCTAGAATACAATCTTTGGGACAATCAAGATGAACATGCTAATCAATCTCGTTTAACGCAAAAAAGCTGTTTGATTTATACTAAAAACTACAGAGAAAAATAAACACTGAACACATGACTTGAATTTTCAAGTATCCCTAAGCTTGAAAAAAAGGTGATCTACCTATTTCCAGAAACGGAATCTGATCCTAATAGATTATTATTTGGAGGTTGTACATAACGATGGTTCATTACAGGATAGTTTCTATTATTATTATTGTTATAATTGGCATCTAGCAGAGGTGATGGTGTAACAACAGATGGTAATTGTCTAACTGAGGATAAATTGGATTGATTTATTGAATTCACAGGTGGTAGACCCGATGGAGGGTAAATATTTGAGGAGCTGGAGGATGATGACATCATTGTGGATAGAACAGGAGGAGTAAGCGATGGCGGTAAATCGGCATTATGTGATGAAATAGGCGAAAAGTTGAATCTACAAAAAAGTAGTTTAGCAAAATATATAAATTAAGAAAAAATCATTCGGCTTGGTTGACTGGTCAGTATATCATAGACCACACAAATTCAGTCACACGAATATATAATTTAGTGTCTTTCTGTACGGATGCTTATACGTTTAAATAAATAAATAACACAGTAACGACGTCATATTTAACTGACTGATCGAATTCATCAGATTAAGCATACTCCATGAGAACGACACCATCGTCAAGTCAATGAGTTATTGCCCTTGCTCGCCCCCCGGTTAAAAACAATCCTAAGCAAGCAGTGTTGATAATCATAATGAGTCCTAAACTAGAATTAAACAATAGTCAGTCAGTCACAACGTAGAACTTCGTACGTACATACGTACATCAGTTCGAGTTGCCATACCACATTAACACAGAGAGCAGTTGTCGATTCAAATAACATAGTGGTAGAAGTAGTAAGAGTATAAGCAGTAATGTGAAAGATTAGGGTTCGAAGATGTTATTGAAGGAGTATAATCCACTGAAATAAATTTGAAAAGAGAAAAAAGACAAAGACATGAAGAATTCAGAAGACCAGAATCTAGGAGAACACAAAGAGTGGATGCACCTTCGCCATTGCAAACGATCTTGAGCCATGTCATTCAGGGTCTCTAACCATCAATTGCTATCATCTCGAGGATCCCAACCAAGTAGTCTACACCTACCAACATCTAATTACTATTATCATAATCCCTACTTATGCAGATAGATATCAATAGTATATAGCAGTAATTGGAAGTAGAATGCTTAACAACAAACGAGTGAAATCAAGAGGAGAAGAAGAAGAAGAAAGTAGACGAAGAGCAAACAGAATAAAAACAGGATCGGAAGCATGATGAAGTATGCAAAGGATAACTAAATAAAGATATACAAATGATGTATTCAATGTATGATTTCCTGAGTTTTCATTTATTACACTACTACTAAACTAGATCTTTGATCGACACATTATACACGGATCGGGATCATAGTATACCCGATAAACTATTCATGATCCAATATAGAGAACATGAAGATAAGTTAGATATTACGTCATTCAACAAAATTACAAGTACTCTATACTCAATGAAGTCCAGAACAAAAAAACGATAACAATAATTTATGGATTGATTCAAGTTATCATATCACATCAGCATTATAAAATCCTAGAGTAGTAGAAGTAGCAACAGTATCAGTAGGAGTAAGACATTGTAGATGTAAAATAATTTGATTCAAGAAGAAACTGTAGATTCATAGGAGAAAACAGTATAAGACTGGCCCAATTTCAATGAAAATATCAACAACCATTACAAATTACATTACAACGCATAATCGTTGAAGAAATGAATAACTATCTACAATCAATAGCTAAGTGAATAATGTGACAACGCTTGAAGTGAATGGTACTGAATTCAAGTTGTGAATAGGGATGTAGATACATATGGCTGATGAGCCACAAAGCAGTAAGAAACATGAGTCCCGAATTCCAATGCTATCCAAATTCTATCTATTCTATGTAAAAAAAAAACACATCATACGTCCCAGAGTGAACATCAACTCTGAGATGCAGGTACATCCAGCTTACTAGTCCCAAATAGGATGAAACGCGCGTCAAACTGGATTCCACTGCTAACCACTATCCATTTATGCTTACATCATAAAACTATTCTGTAAAAACTTAAAATCTAACAGAATCAATCATATAGAATGAATTTTTTTAATTGCAACCGATTTCAAAAGTTTTCCAACTCTATAATTGAAATCATGAATCAATTGAAGCTAGACTACCATGGAAAACCTGGAAGCACTGGACGCCCATTGCCCCCAAATTCCGTGGTACGGCCGAGAGTGGGGAGGGCCCACTCTCCCTCTCGAAATGCTCTCATATGGTCACGCGAATATATAGCTTCTACCAGGGAAGTCCTATTCACTGCCTTCTCGTGGAGGGGGTGTTCTTTACGAAAGTGAGAGGACGAAAACCGAATGTCCGGCACTTTAACCGGGTCGGTGGACATGGAGGGTCCACCTAGGGGAGTTGGGAAACCCTGATTCCAAACCAACGGTGCACATGGCCTCCAGGATCCTGATGGAACGAATGGCGTATGAACCTATTGTTGGTCACTGGCTACCATGGGACTGCATCGCTCCACGATGCTCCACTGCCTTGTGGATCAGATCTTTAGTTCAAAGGCTCCAGGTGTGGCCTCTTAAACAAAAACCACCTACTTCGGTTTGGTCACCTGGGCAGTATCACAGCCCTCACACAAATTAAATGAGATTTGTGAGGCCCATATATATATCTGGTACTTTTTTGTACCAACATTTATGTGTTTAAATAAATAAATAAATAAATAAATAATAAATAAGACTCCTCAGCAGTGCGCATCCATGAAACGGTCGTCCAATGCTTCCAGGTTTTCCATGATGATTAGGCTTCAATTGATTTATGATTTCAACGATATATAAAAAATATATGTAAATATTCACAACTTACGTAGATTGATTTTGTCTAGATGTACTTGTCTGTACACTAACAGCACTATCATGAAACGATAAACAATTAGAGGAAGATGAAGAAATAGTTGGATAATTGAAACTATTCAGATTATTTTGATTTATATTTGACTGATATGTATACTGTATTGTTTGACGATTAGATAAAGATGGATAATTAACTGATTGTTGTTGTTGATAATAATTCTTATTATTAGTTGTTTTAACAAATAAAGATGATTGCATTTCCGTGGATGAATTAGCCTTTGATAGACCACAATGACATTGTATATGCTAACAAAAGAAATATATATATATACATATGAATATAATTCGGAAACAAGCAAGATTACAATTCTGTATCTAAAGATTATATGGATGTTCCATTTGATGTTTGATCACAATATGTCATTTCAGTCCATGACTTCATTGATCTTGGAAATGCTATCAGACGAGGTGAGTTGGTGTCTGATGAAAGGTTGGTTAGTTTTTGCCAACTTATGTCACTTGTGACATAGATAAGATATTCGCTGTGTTTTTTTTAAAGCTGTGAAACTTAGTCTTTAACAATAGAGGATATTCACAGGTTACTAGTATTTTTCCATGGTGTTTTAGAAGCACTAGTTGTATATTTTAGTAGTAGTTCTTAGGTTTGATGCAGCGTACTAAGTACAGTAAATCAATAGACGAGGTAGTGAATCTTTATTGACTAAGATGGTTGGACTGAGTCATTTAGGTAAGTACGTAGGTGCATACTAACTGGTTAGGTTCTGCGTGATTATAAAAACAATGGTTAAAGCCTTTCAATGATAAGGAGCAGAATCGACAGCAGTAGCACACATGGATTCTCCGTTGATCTTCTCTTAGGTCCCAAATTTCTAAGTTCTTGAGAACTTTTTTTTCCATTATTTCACTAATTTATAGATCTTCGAACTGTATTTTCCCTCCCTAATCATTTTTATTCGTCTTAATCCTGTCGCTGTCTCTACTACAGTGGAATCTGACCTGAACATTTCATCTCGCTGTACTAATGTATGCTTGATCAAGTGTTACAGACTATACGAACGTTTCTCTCAGTACTTCATATGTAAGCTAGTAAGTCGCTCATTGCTTTGCTGATATCTATGCATGCATCTTAAATCCTGCTCATTCACTAGTATTCGCATTTTTGTTTTTAATCGCTTCGTGTGCTTGGAAACTCTGTGACTTGAGTTGTACAGCGATAGACTGTAGTCACCTTTTCGTATTGTCATCCGAAACTTAAACACCACTGGGATTTATGTAATACGGTCATTAGAACGAAAGATACGCAAAACAAAAGGCCGACACACCATTGAAAATGAGAGAGCACTTGATAGATGTTATATCATAGCATGAGATTTATTAGTTTCGCTCGTCGACAACTCAATCAAAGAGGATCGGATACATGACATCAGACCTAGTGGTGAGTAATTAATCTCCATAGCACTAAGTCAGTATCTATTGATTTACATGCCTAACTTGAATCATCAGGTTATCACGCAATCTGAAGGTCGTGCGTTAGGTCTCCAGTGAAGACATGGATATGCACTGACAAAGGATTTCACATAAAGACGCAATAGACTTCTAGTTATCCCTAGTTGTCAATGGTTGTTTTATTATTAATTCTTAAAGAACAGGCGATTTTCATCGCATTCAATTTATATAAACTCACTAGTTGATAATAGGAGAGATGGGTATATATTTATTTATTTTATTTAAACAGATATATATTAGTACAAAAAAAGCACACGATATATATGCGCCTCACAAATTTCATTTGATTTGTTTGCGGGCTGTGATACTACCCGGGTGCCCAAACCGAAACAGGTGGTTTTCTTAAGGGACCACACCTCGAACCTTTGACCTAAAGGTCTGATCTACAAAGCAGTGGAGCATAGTGAGGAGATGCAGTCCCATGATAGACGGTGACCAACAATTGGTTCATGCGCCATTTGTTTCCTTAGAATACTGGAGCCCATGTGCACCATTGGTTTGAAATCAGGGTTTGCCAACTCCCCTAGGTAGACCCTCCGTGTCCACCAACCCGATTAAAGCACCGGACATTCGGTTTTCGTCCTCTCACTTTCGTAAACAACACCCCCTCCATGAGAGGGCAATGAGTAGGACTTCCCTGGTAGAGGCTATATATTCACGTGACCATGTGAGAGCATTTCGAGAGGGAGAGTGGACTCTCCCCACTCTCGACTGTACCACGGAATTTGGAGGGGTCATTCGACAGTTGACTTAAATATACTTATATATTTATAAAAATAAAAGAAAGCATTAGAAAATTCAATGCATAACACTTACTGGATATGGACATAGAAATGGTTGTGATAATTCAGTGGATAATATTTGCTGTTGCTGCTGTTGTTGTTCTTCCATACTTAGATTACACCATAGACGATGTCTTAAATCAATTAAATGATTCATTGTTTGGGAATATAATTCAATAGTTGATATAGTTTTTGTTAATAAATTAAAAGCAATTAAATTATAATTTCTATTTGATTGATTATCATCATTATTGACTCCAATGAAGCTAGTCTCCGTTAACCATATAGCTAGATGAATTAATAATTTACTTGATTTATATGTATAATGATGATCCATTCCATTAGAAGAACAAGAAGAAGATAAACGAAATAAGAAGAGTAGTAGTAATGATAATGGCTAAATAATGAAATCAAAGAAGACAAAGAAGAAGAAGAAGAATATCAGAAGGGGGTTTTGTGGATATCATAGTAATATTTTAATAGTTGAGATGATGATTCAATTGAAGGTAGACCACTGTGGAAAACTTAAACGAAACCGATGTACAGTGCTTCCAGGTTTTCCAATAGTGATCTAGCTTCAATTGACTCATGATCTTAACTATTAAAATAATAATAATAATTGCAAATATGAAATGAAGAAAAAATACTCTTTAAAAAAAAAAGTGCAAATTTCATTATATAGTTTTCGCATGCACAGTTAAGACTTTAGTTGGTGGATCACAAACATCTCAATACTTCAAACTATTTGCTGGTGCCAACTAGAGTTTTATGTATTATAACTATATTACTCATAAGACTGCATCGATGTGCAATGTTTTATGATGTGGGAGTAGGTTGGAAGAAGGCTAAGGGCTGCCAGACCAAAACGTGACACAAATCCATGAAGTCACTGACAAGTGGACTGAGCCATGTTGGTAAGCATAGACTACCTGGACATAGATCAAAATCGTTTGCAATAATGAAGGTGTATCCACTCTTTGCTATGTCTCGATAAGAATAGTGAATGGTAACTTTGGGATCCATTTATGGACCAATATTTTGCATATCTTTTCTATCGTATAATTGCTAACTAACTAAACTATTCATATTCGTGTCTTCCCTATTATGAGCCTTATTTTGACCTATAAACTAATGTTATATGATTTACCATTCCTGAGTTATGCCCTATCTATCATTTACTATCTCCCTTATTTAAAGCCACATTTGGCTGAATCTTGTACAAATGTTGTTTCTTAGTTTATGGTACGATAAGGTCTGTTTGATCGTTACATAAACTCAGTATATTTGAAATACAACGATTCATATTGCAGAGGCTGTTATTGATGTTCTGGACTTAACTGACTGGGATAGGCAGATAGCAGGACCGACAAGTGCTTTAGACTGTTCGCGCGAGTTTCATGTGTTATTGGTTTGATCGATAACTCACTGCTTTCTAATTGGCGGTATTATCACGTTATAAATTAACAGGGCATCCAGGAAGTCACAAGTTATAACACTCTTTGTGTTCTCCCAGATTCTAATCTCCTGAATTCTTCAAGTCCTTTTTTTGTCTCCAAATTTATTTCACTGAATTATACTCCTTGAATGATATCTTCAAACCCTAATCTTTCACATTAATGCTTATACTCTTATTACTTCTACCACTATGAGACTTGAATCGACAACTGAATCTCTGTGTTAATGTGGTATGACAACTCGAACTGATGTACGTACGTACGTACGAAGTTCTACATTGTGACTGACTGACTCGCAAGTAATTAGTGTTTTTATCGTATAGTATCCAATTTTTTTTCATTGACTAATCGTAAACTATTTGTTGATTGGTGCATATGCATTTTATTTCTCCAGTTGTATATGAACTAATTATTATTATACCTATCTATGCTAAGAGTTGATTGCTGTTATAGCTGGATTGACCAACTTGAATGTTAGTACTTTAACGTAAAATAATTATTATCTCATATCTAATATCACAGACTAGTCTTAGTTAGACAACCACTGAATACCAGGAACCAATGGACAGTTGTCGTATTTTAATATAGAACTTCTCAGCACTGTGTCCACAACCCTATCCACCAAGGATTGATTTCGTACAAAGAAGACTAATCTCTATATCATTAAGTTGCCATCCAATAGTTTTCGCGTTTAACTTCAATTAATTTTTAATATTAAGCAACCATTATACTTGTAAACTAACACACATTCAACATGATTGTTTACCTAACATCAATCGGTGATTTGAACTTCAAAATTGAAAACTTTTTCCATAAACCACTATAGTAATTATTATCGGAAGGGTTTTTTGTGGAGATTTCAGTATTTTCATAGTTGAAATCATGAGTCTATTGAAGCTAGATCACCATGAAAAACCTGGAAGCACTGGACAGCCATTTCGTCCTATTGTGGGATTCCTCAGCAGTGCGCATCGTCGATCCCGCCTCGCGAGATTCGAACCCAGGATCTATCAATCTCACGCCAGAGCACTTAACCGATAGATCCGCACTGCTGAAGAGCCCCATAATAGAACGAAACGGCCGTCCAGTGATTCCAGGTTTTACATAGTGGTCTAGCTTCAAATAACGCATGATTTCAACTATGAAAATAGTGATTATTATTTACTACAAAGCCAGGTAACCTAGGTTAGCATTCCATAAAAAAAAGAGTATCGATTTCTTCAAGACTTTAAGGCACATACCACATTGATTCATGTGGTAACTACCATGATGTTTGGGTAAAAAACAAATTTACATTTCAACTACTTACCAAACATTTTATTACATGATCCAAATGATTTTCATTTATATTATTTAAATGTAACCAACATTCTGTTAAATAATCAAGATCATCACCAATAATACAACAGATACATGCAGCTAATCCAAACTCATATGAAATATTATTATTACCATTATCATTATTTGTATGATCAAGTAGACGTTTAGCAAACATTGCTAAAAATCGATAAGAAAAAAGGAACAGGAACTTAAAACGACATGATAATAACAGTGGACAGATATATAATATAAGGAGTTTTGTGGAGATTTCAGTATTTTCATAGTTGAAAGCATGAGTCAATTGTAGCTAGATCACCATGGAAAACCTGGAAGCACTAGACGGCCGTTTCGTTCTATTGTAGGACTCCTCAGAGGCAGTGAACATCCACGACCGCGCCTCACGAGATTTGAACCCAGGACTTACCTATTAACAAATCTATCTGGGTGAACAACCAATCCTCCACCAAAACAACAATCTGTGAACTTGAAACTACTTAGCTTAGTACCATGGGCTTTGATATTGTAGAAAAGACATACTTTGAACAAGCAAGTTTGAGGTTAGAGCTTAAGTACTAGGGATAGATGAGCAATCAGTTGATGAAGTTATGGATCCGTTTAGATTGAAGTGGTTATAACGATGTCTGGTGATATAGCAGTAGACCAGAAGAAATCTAGAGATAGATAGACTAAAACATGACAATTGGACTGAGCAATGTTAGTATCAGCCGATATTTTGATATAGGGTCCTTTAGATAACTTCAATCACTGATTGGAGACTTCTGATAATCTGGCCTAAAATCGTTCACAGTGGTGTAGATGTGTTCACTTAATATTTTCATTCGACTCTGAATTACAGTATTCTTACATTTATACCTTTCCATTATATTTTCAAACCATCTCAATGTCGTTGTTATTAGATTATTTCAATATATTTAGCTACTCATCTTATCTTTTATCTATTTATTTGAACGCATGAACATTGGTACAAGGAGGCACCAAAATATATATGCGCCACACTTTGTCATTCGATGTATGTGAGGGCTAGGATACTGTCCGAGTGCCCGAGCCGAAGCAGGTAGTTCACTTATGGGGCCAATTCTCCTCGAGCCTTTGAACTAGACGTCTAATCCATAAGGCAGTGGAGCAACGTAAGGAGATCTAGTCCTATCGTAGTCAATGACTAAAAATTGGTTCATACGCCATTTGTACCCTCAGAATACTGGAGCCCATGTGTACCATTGGTTTGGAATCAGGGTTTTCCATCTCTCCTAGATAGATCATCCATATCCACGGACCCAGTTAAAACACCGAACATTCGCTTTTCGTCCTCTCAATTTCGTAAACAACAGTAATGCCTCGAGAAGACAATGGATAGGACTTCTCTGGCAGTGGTTTTATGAACATGGTCATGTATGAGCACTTCGAGAGGTAGAGCTGCCCCACCCCACCCTTGGCTGTAGTAGGGCATTTCATAGCACTCATCTTACCAGTTCTATCTTATCCCACTGATAAGACATAGAAACTTGGACTAATATCCATATCCCAAATGCTTTATTTTGAACATAACTGACTGATGCCTTGTTGATTAATGACTATCAAACTATATGAAACAAAAATTTCTATCTTCAATCAATTACCTACAATCGATAGCAAAACAAACCAGAACTATTCCTGTAAACAACAATATCAGTGACAAAAAACAGATCATATGTACACATACACACACACACACACCAAATAGACTCACAGCATAACTTTCTTAACAAATCAATATCTTGATCCCATAAATGATTCAGAAATGCTGTTAATATAGTTTTCCAATCTGATAATGGCCAATTAACAACAATATTAATCCAATTTTCTCGTATTAATACACAATTGAATAACATGATGACAGAATTCAAAATTGGCTCCCTATGAATGAAATGATCTTTCAATGAGATTTCATTTAGAGTATGATATAATTTCAATTTTATATTTTCATATAAATCGATTTGTTCTGAACGATGTAAATCAGCTAACATAACAGCGAAAACACTCAATGTAGAAAGATTTGGCAGGGATAATGATGAAAATTTGCTGGAAAAAAAGTACACAAAACAAAAACATTGTTTTTTATGAGAAGGTGGGTTTGTGGAGACTTAAGTCATTTTTTTATATAGTTGAGATTATGACGGTTCAGTGATCTATCGGTTAGTCAGTCAGTCAGTTACAATTTAGAACTTCGTACGTACGTACATCAGTTCAAGTTGCCATACCACATTAGCACAGAGATGCAGTTGTCTATTTAAATCTCATAGTGGTACAGGTAGTAAGAGTATAAGCAGTAATCCGAAAGATTATGATTTGAAAATGTCATTCAAGGAATATAATCCAGTGAAATAAATTTAAAAAGAGAAAAAAGACAAAGACATGAAGAATTCAGAAGATTAAAATTTGGGAGAACACAAAGAGTGGATGCACCTTCGCCATTGCAAACGATCTTGAGCCATGTCATTCAGGGTCTCTAACCATCAATTGCTATCATCTCGAGAATCCCAACCAGATAGTCTACACCTACCAACATGGCTTAGTCCAATTGTCTGTGACTTCATGGATTTGTGCCACGTTTTGGTTTGGCCGCCTCTAGCTTTCTTTCAACCTGCTCCTACAACATAAAACATTGCACGTTGGGGCAGTCGGTGGTTAAGCATACGTAACACGTGTCCCAGCCATCTCAACTGATGAAGTTTCATCAATCGGTTAAGTGCTCGCGCGCGAGAATTATAGCTCCTGGGGTTCGAATCTCGAGAGGCAGAATCGTGGATGCGCATTGTTGAGGAGTCCAACAATAGGATGAAATGGCCGTCAAGCAGTGCTTTCTGGTTTTCCATGGTGGTCTAGCTTCAATTAACTCATGATCTCAACTACATAAAAAAAACATTGTTTGTTGAAAGAATCATGTATCGGTAAACGATTTCTTTAACTTAGATGAATCATAGTGACTTTCATGACTATCACAAGTTATTTGTAATATTTAAACTTATTCTAGTTAGGATAACATAGAAAACTAGGAAGCAATGGACAGATTGTTCATCTTATAATAGAGCTGAACCGGAGTGTTTACCCACGGCTCCTAAAAGGATAGAAATCGAGGGTCTTTAGGTTTCACAGTGCACACTTGAGTATTAGTAACACTGGGTTTAAAACTAACAAATATACTTTAAGCTTCAATACATATCGATATCATATCGTTTGGTATTAAGGACAATTGTCTAAATCTCGAATACACAACCTATGGATTTAACCAATTTCCACAAAACTCCTACAATTAATTCACATACTCAGATTCATTAATTTACACACTACAGACACCTGACGAGTGTCAAGTAGCACGAAACCCGGGTCCAGGGTTTCCTGTTGGCCACCTCCAACCACTATCTTATCTCAACATAGTACACGCAGTGTCGAGCCACATTGCAACTTGATCGATAGCATTCGATCAGCACTAAGAAGGACTTGACACACATGACATTGACCACCACCCAGTGATCAATCAATTGTGATTACATCTCAGTCCTACAGGAGGTCGGTCGCGGTCCGAATAGCTCAGTGGTAACGTCTTTGACTGTGAAGCTGAGTGACACGAAATCGAATCCGTCAGGGAGCACCATTTCCCTCAAGATTACAGGTACAGCTTGCTGACGAGTGCCAAGTAGCAGGAAACCCGGGTCTAGGGTTTTCTGTTGACCACCTCTAACCACCATCTTATTACTAATCTTTTTCTTATAATTCAACAAATACGTAATTATATCTAATAATCATCCATTGTAAAGTGGTATATATGTGTATAGTTTGGATTGAAAGTCATTAGAATGAAATTGGAGTCTCTATTAATATAGGGAGAGGTAAAAAATATTATGAAAGAAACTTTGATACAGACAAACAACATATAAGCAAGTGCTTACTTTTACCTTCAGATTGTATTTCCCACTTGGAACGACCTTAATTGTCATTGGTTCGTAGTCTCTTTTAATGTTATTTCGTGACGTTTTCCCAAGGACATTTTTATACTTTATATATACGCTTGAGTTGTGTGTTTGTTCATTCGTGCTTCTGGCTGTGTACGGAATATACTTTTCCCTCTATTGAATCTGGTCTTCTCGTTCTAGTTAGGGGCTGGGGAAGCGTTGGAATAGTTTAGATTGTCCTGTTGTTGTGTTGCAGACCTTCGTTCTGTTCTCCGATTTAGGTGATATAGTACTCTCTTTAAACATAACAATTATCTCTGGTATGTAGGTAGTAGTGAAATTTAGGACTTGCATCTCAGTCTATTTGAGACTTGTCAGCTGGATATAGCTGTATTTCAGTATTGATATTCAATCTGTGACTTGAATATAGTAACCTTTTCTTTCAACTCATAAAGTATCATTCAATCAACTACTGGGTTCAGATAACTGTAAACTTATTTAGTACGTATGAAGATTTTCGTAAAGATTTGTAGTTTTCTGTTGCTGATATTCAGGACTATAAATGGTTAGTGTTATGATGTATTGTGTCCGACAACTAATATACATGCTTGTGACTTCGTTTAGCTAATAATCTTTCTCATTCACATTCGTTTCATTAGAGTAGCCAGTTGAACTCTTGCATAGAGAGACTGACTATCAATATTAAATCTTGAACACCGCACGTCAAAACAGATTCCGGGACAATATTTTCAGGCGATCAGTTCAGAATGCATATATAATAACGCATACTAGTTATCTCCTATATATTATATAGGCAAGTACTTATGCAACTGAAAAAGCTTCGGTCAAAAAACTTCTTTCTCAATAGGGAATTGGGGGCTTTCAAATAGGAAGTTTGAGTATCAGTATCCGTCACCGGACACAAAGAGTTACAACCCCTAAACACGAGTCTGACTAGCTACTTCAGCAAGAAATAAATCTTATTAACTAAGTCTGAATCCAGAATATATGTACACTTATTCACAAACATATATCATTTTCCCTTAGAAAACAAAACTCATTTTGAACCAAAAGCCGTTCATAGTAAGTGAAGTCAAATCTTGACTGACAGCCTGTACTTGTACGTATATATAAAGACATTAAAATATATAAACTTACGGATGTAAACATAATTGAATAATTGTTTTCATATCATTGATAACGAGAGCATATTTCAATGCATCCAATAGTTGAGAAGATGTAGACTCATTGAAATCTATATGAAGAACATAAATCGACAAATTTTATCTCATTAACTCATTTACCAGTAATTGAATTTATTAGTTTAAATATATACAAGCTAAAGTATTAGGCATTAATAGATGAAAGAGCAGAGTACATGTTGCCCGAACATCGTTGCTAACTTAACGTGGTGGTCGGGCTTGCCTAACGTGATAAACCAATCGAGCTATACTGGCTGGAACAATCGTTCCTCAACGTCCTACGATGCCAGACAGGTCGGTTGAAGAGCAGTAAGACTAGAAGCAGCAAACCCAAGGTCCGAAGACGAAGTCGTACTGTTGACTGTACAGAGATTGGATGGCAGTCACGTGTTTCCTTCACACAACCAGCACAACAGCGATACTGCCTTCCCACAAGCACGGAGTTAGAAATGGTCAACCATTAAAATACACACCACGCCTTATCCCACGGATTTCCGTCTCCGGAGGTAAGGTCCCAACAAGTATGGAGCTAACACAAAAAACTAAATAACTAACTAGTGTGTGACCAACCTCAAGCAGTTGTCCCTTGGGCATTGCGGTTACGCTCTCAGGTCATTAAGACCACTTCTTATCTGAGTCCCTTTTAAGCTACTCTAGAAGAACCCTTCCACGGTGTGGGCAACCGGGAAGTGATAACTGCCCTCATACCTCTAACAGCACTCAAAATCACTGTATTCATGATCAGTCTCCTTCTTTAAATCCTATTAGGTCTCCCACCTCGACTTTCAACACTAAACTCCCTCTTCAGGTGTCACCATGGCCAACGATTCTAGTGAGCGAAACACTGTCCAAGGTCTACTAAAACCTCGCTCCAAACTACACATTGGACCCTTCAACATATATACCTTAAGTCAAATCGGTCAACAAGCCTCCTTGGCTACGACCCTAGAATCTCGTACCATTGATGTATGTTGTGTCACCGAAACACGCATATAGGATCATTTACTTGACTTCACTTCGCCAAAAATGGACAGCCGACTGACTGAGTACATGTTCCTATTCTTCGGATAATTTTAGAGAACTTAAGATTAAAATATCTTATAGTTCTAAAACAGTGCAATAGATTGATGTTTAATGGATCATACACATATCATCGACATTTGTCAACCACTCTAAATCAATAAACAGACATATATATTATTACTATAAAGCATGGCATGGGTATACATCAGCTTAAATTGCTATGTAATATGAGTATGACGAGATTCTAACAACCCTACGAATTCATGATAACCAAGGATTGAAGAAATTAAATGATATGACTAAGAATTTGCTCCCGTGAAGTAGATGAACTGCTCTTTGGTCTAATCCTAGATTCTGAAATTTGAAATCATTTGTACACATTACAGAAAACACAATCAGTAATTTTGTGATTTGGTGGAATAACTAAAGATCAAACAAAACAGAAGATGCAGACTACTTGGTTAGGGTCTGCGTGGCTATCGTAATTAATGGTTGGAGACTCTGAGTGATATAACTTAAAATCAATCATCACAACGACGCAGGTGTATACACTCTTTGTCTTCCATTCAACTAAAAGATTAAGATTAGTTCATACCTTTCTATTTGTAAAGATGGCTCGTTAGTAAACTCCAGGAAGCCTCAAGAAGCTGAGAAAGAGCAGAAGATATTCCATCCAATTACCGCTAAAGGAACATTCTCGAATGTGGATGTGTAGCTCTCCTATTGAATGAATAAGAAGGCCTCCCTGTATGCCTATTGGCTGTCCGAAATGATGATTTACTTTCAGCCAAAAAACTATAAATACATGAGATGTTTGTATTATATTTGACACTGTTTTTGGCAATAACATTCCTACTTACTAGTCTTCTGTCTTCTCATTTTGCAACTTGGGAGGGTTCTAGCGTTCGAGTGCTTAAGTATTACGCGACATACTAAGAATCTAAGTTCCAGATATAACACTATACACTAACTCTTTCTCCCTTTATCATTATCCTTATATGTTATCTTTGTTTTATATATATTATTACCATTGAAGTAACTGATTCTATGAAGTTGATGTTCAGTTTGTTGTGTTATAGGGGTTTGGCAACTTCGACCAATGAATATATATATATATATGCCCAGTCCTACATTGTAAATGACTGACTGATTGACGATAGTAGATTAAGGTAAACAGTGATTTAAACCTACACATAAAACATGATTCAATCACAATAATTGATCCATTTAATGAATTAAATGATTTATCCTCAATTTACTTAGACTACGTGACTTTTATGGATAAAACGAAATTAAATAACAATCACGTCAAAAGTATACTTCATTTTGTTGATCAAAAATATATTTGTATTTACATAGTCGGCCAGACCAAAACGTGGCACAAATCAATGAAGTCACAGACAATTGGACTAAGCCATGTTGGTAGGTGTAGACTACCTGGTTGGGATTCGCGAGATGATAGCTACCGATGGTTAGAGACCTTGAATGACATAGCTCAAAATCGCTTGCAATGATGAAGGTGCATCCACTCTTTCTGTTCTCCTAGATTCTGATCTTCTGAATTCTTCATGTCTCTATCTTTTTCTCTTTCCAAATTTATTTCACTGTACTATACTCCTTCAATAATTTATTCAACCTTAATCTTTTGGATTTCTGATTATACTTCTACTACTTCTACCACTATGTGATTTGAATCGACAACTGCATCTCTGTGCTAATGTGGTATGGCAACTCGAACTGATGTACGTACGTACGAAGTTCTACGTTGTGACTGACTGACTGACTGATATAGTTGAAATTATGAGTCAATTGAAGCTAGACCATCATGGAAACACTGTAAGGCTATTTCGTCCTATTGTGGGACTCCTTAGCAATTAACTCATAATAATTTCAACTATATAAAATTAGTAAAACTCCCCCCTCCAAAAATATATTTACCTTGAAAATCTTGTTTACTGTAGCCCAACAAAATGGATAATGATGATTTAACTGAAGTTGATTTATCTAAACGAGCCTAAATGAAAATTTTAAAAATATAATGATACAGAGATAAGAGGAAACGAATGTGATAAAATATGATAGTGTAATGAAGAAGACGTAAAGATTATCTGAACTATGTAATGATATATCAGTGCAATACATTTCAAGCAATCTGATCACATATAATATACTTGTTAAGAACATATATATATATATATACAAATCAAAGATCAACTAGACTGGAAATCGGGAGTAAGGAGGCACCAGTATATTTACTTAAACACATAAATATTGGTACAAGGAAACACCAGATATATATGCACCACACAAATCTCATTTGATTTATGTGAGGGCTGTGATACTGCCCGGGTGCCCAAACTAAAGCAGGTGGTTTTCTTAGAGGGCCACACTCGGAGCCTTTGACCTAAAGATCTGATCCACAAGGCAGTGGAGCATCGTGAGGAAATGAAGTACCATGGTAGCCGGTGACCAACGATTTATTCATACGCTATTGTTCCCTAAGGATACTGGAGACCATGGTTTGGAATCAGGGTTTTCCAACTTCCCTGGGTGGACGCACTGTGTCCACCAACCCGGTTAGAGCGCCAGACATTCACTTTTCGTTCTCTCAATTTCGTAAACAACACCCCCGCTATGAGAAGGCAGTGAGTAAGACTTCCCTGGCACAGGCTATATACCTGTGTCCATGTGAGAGCATTTCGAGAAGGAGAGAGGACTCTCCTCACTCTCGGTCGTACAAGGGCATTTGGGGGCAAGTTAGACCTCATAGATATTGGGTAAATAATTAAAGAATTATAGAAACAGTATACAATATATGAGTATACATATTTATACTATAGTATTAATTAAACATTTGGTTGTTTCCTATTGTATTTCACTTAAGAATTATTTGATGCACATTTTACTGTCCTGTAATTATCATTAATCAGTTAGGCAGGCATCTATTATTTAATTTTGTATTATATATGATCTAATTATGTAACAAATTATGATTACATACTTTTAATGTATTATGGTTACGTAATTAGCTATTGAGAATGGAAGATATTGTGTGAACCAATAAGTGTGAGTATCTCTATTCAGTATCTCCATTGTACTGAAGTAGATACCTGTCTCTTCCTGACATAGATTAGCTCCATTGGTCAACGACTTCTCACTAAAACTCCAGGAATTACCTCATGGAACCAGTCACTAGTGTTGTTTACTTGTATCTTACTAATTACTTATAAGACAACTTTGAATTAAGAAACAAATCAATAGAGATGAAGGCTTACTTGAATTACATCCCATAAATCCAAATGATCTTGACTATGTGTTAACGATGATTTAAATAAAGTTTTAGCATTTTCACAAACTGTACTTAAATAATCATTGGAACAATTAAGTACATTGATCAAACATTCAATTATATTTGGCATAGAATTCTTCCACTGATCATCTGATCCATCAGTAGAATGTAGTTGTACTGTTGTCGATGATATTGGTTCCAATTGAAATACATCAATCCATTTAATAAAAACATAATATGATTGAAATTCTGTAGAATTCAAATGATTTTGATCTGATACTGTTCCTATTGTTGAATTTTGTTCAATATTGGTAATATCTGATGATCGATTATTTGGATCAGTTTGTTTTGAATTACTCATTGAACTATTTGTACGAGTACGTTTTGATTGAGGATTTGTTAAAGATGAAAAAGTGACAAGTCTTCCACCAAACTAAATAACAAAACATGATAAAGATACAGTAAACATTTTATGATGAGAAATAAAACTGTTATATCTAGAGCCTTGATTCTTAATATTCCGCGAACTACTAGACTACTTGAATGATAGAACCCGCAAAGTCGCAAAAAGAGAAGACAAAGACTAGTAAGTAGGAAGTTTATCCCCCAAATCAGTGTCAAAATATAGTACAGAAATCTCGTGTATTTATAGTTTTTTGGCTGAATGTAAATCATCATTTCGGTCAACCAATAGGCAAATAGGGGTCATTCTTATCCATCCAATGGGGAAGCTAAACGTCGACATTCTAGAGCATTCCCCTAGCAGTGATCGGATGGAACGTCTGTGGCTCTTCCTGGGCTTCTTTAGGCTTCCTAGAGTCTACCGACGAGCCGACCTTACAAAAACATAGGTTAGTAAATGAAACCATATCATACGGTAAAAAAAATGACTCTCACTTCTGATCAAAAAATTCACTGTTCTCCAATAGGCGGTCTTAAAACGTCCATACATTAACTGGGCACCCAATCGATATAACAACTGACGTAGGGGTAAAAAAAATCGAACCAAAGCCAACCTGCGATTGGTCGAAAATCAGGTAATTATTCCGTGTAATCAGCATCCAAAATCGTCGTTGCTCTCCTTGAACGACATTGGTCATTAGTCATACGGTAAAAAATGGCACTAACTTCCGATCAATTACAGTTACTATTCCAGCGACAAGAGCAGCGTTTTAAAAAGAGTAAGTTCAAATTCATTGACAAATTACACGCAAAGCTTTACCATTCTTGAGTTATCTCTAGTTTATTGATTACTGTTCACCCTATTCACAGCCACATTTGGCTGAATCTTGTACAAATGTTATTTTCTATTTTATTGGTACGATGTGGTCTATTTGGTCGGTATATAAACCCAGTATGTTTGTAAATAATGATTCATATTGCAGAGGGTGTTATTGGTGTTCTGTACTTAACTAGCTGGACTAGGCAGATAACAGGACTGACAAGTAATCAAGACTGCTCATACGGCTTTTGTGTATCATTGGGCGATTAACAAATTCACTCCTTTCTGATTGGCGGCGATCACCATCAACTGGGCAAGAATGCAGGCAAACGATATAACAATTTCTCTCTTTCTCTTCCTCTCTTATACTACTCATTTACTTCAACGATATCATTCTAACTCACATCTGTTCTATATGTAGTCATCCATCTGGACTCAATAGCTCGATAAATAGTGCATTTTTAGCGAAAAAAAATAAAGTTCGAGCGCCAATATGAATATCGATGCCAGAATAGAGATACATCCCAACCACTGAATCACAAGTAAAATGAAATACGCTTCCTGGATTACATCACGAACGACTATCCAATTTTACTACAAAACCTGTGACTGAATAATCACAGCAAGACAATCCACCGAGTACGTACACACGGTAAAACACATTGATCAATAATGCATAGTAACATTATATGAAAATTAGCGTATATATGACTTACAGCAAAATGGACACCACAGGGTCTCTTCAACCAACTTGGTGCAACACGTAATAATGGCATAGGCTATAATTATTAAAATATGATGAAAACATAAAAAGGGACGGATGCATTAATTTAAACAATTCAATGTTTGGTGGAAATAACACTTACAATGATAATAGATCATAGTTAAACAAACTGGTATGATGATAGATTTTTCCATTGCAGAAGCATTGGTAGTTAACCGATTTGAACCTAGTAACATGTAGATAGCTGACAGTAAATACAGCACTTAGGTTTTGTGCTGTTTGGTACTCGTTAACAAGATGTACCTGTAACCTTAAAGAAAATGATGCTTCCTGAAAAATTCGATCGGATTTGAGGACTTGACACACGGAATATCAGTCGTTTGGTTTCTAAGTGTTCTTCCAATGTCCTGCTTTCGATGCACGTAAACTCTCCATTCCGTCTGACAGTTGTAGTAACTGCAACATCACATCCTGCTACACACAACTTACAAACAAACATGTGAGTAGCGTCCACTACACTATAACCATCACCAAAGAAGTACAGGTATTTAAAAGCATTTATCTATGCAAAATACTCAATGTTCATACGGCCGACAGTGTGGAGAGTCAGCTCTCCCTATCGAAATGCTCTCACATAGCCACGTGCATACAACCATTGCCAAAGAAGTCCTACTCACTACCTTCTCGTGGCCACGGTGTTCTTTACGAAATTGAGAGAACGAAAAACAAATGTACGACGCTTTAACAGGGTTGGTGGACACAGAGAGTCCATCTAAGGAGGGAGTGGAAAACCATGATTGCAAACTAACTTTGCATATGGTCTCCAGGATCCTGAACCAATCGTTGATCACCGTTTACTATGGGATTGTTCCACTACCTTATGGATTAAACTTGTAGGTCAAGGATTCGAGGAGTGACCCCCTAAAAAAGTCACCTGTTTCGGTCTCAACACCTAGGCAGAATGGCAGCTCTCACATGAATCTAATGATTTATATGTTTAAATAAATTAACAGAAACAGTAATAAATATACAATTCTATTTACTTGAAGTAATGAAAGATTTGCTAACTTCATAGAATTCGAATTATTCAACAATGATTGATCTAATCCTAAATTCATTTGTTCTTTATCAATATTATTCACTATACCATCATCCATTAAAACAGGATATAATGAATCTGATTGCACATTAGTGTTTATTGAATGAATACTACTATTATGATTGTTAGTAGTATGGATCATAGTATTATCAGTAGTACTAGTAGTAGTAGTAGTAGTAGTATTATAATCAATTAATAATTGTTCATTATGAAATACTTCAGCTATTTTATTTGAATTATGTAAATTGAATGAATTTTGAGCTAGAATACATTGTTTAGTATAACGTTCAATATTTAATTGTTCAATTTGTTTATTAATACCACTTGATAAATTATATATTGTTATCCAACCATCCGATTGTGTAATACATATTAAATTAGGATGATTTGGTATCCATTGAATAGATGCATTTGTTGGTATTGTATTAAAACATAATAATGGATTAGCTAATTCTTGATCATCGAAACCTTCTAAACGACCAATAAATATTGGTTCTGGTGAAGCTGATTATTCAATGAAGAAAAGAAAAGAAAAAAATGAAATAAAACGTCAATTAGATCTTCATCAAGCTTTACTACTCTAATATACAGTAATATATAAATGTGTATTCATATGTATTCAGTCAGTCAGCTACAATGTAGGACCAGGCACATTTATGCATCGGTTCAAGTTGCCATACCTCGTTAGCACAACAAGAGGAACACCGGATTCATAGTAGTTAATCTAGTGTTGGTAGTAGTATATAAATTATAGGTTGTATATAAGGATATAGTACAGGAAGGAAGAGAGATATGAAGCAATTTTAGTCTCAAGGTTTAAGGGAAGATAAAGAGTGTATACACCTACGCCATTGTGATCGATTCTGAGCCATGTCACACAGAGTCTCCAACCATTGGTTACGATAGTCACGCGGACCCCAACCAAGTAGTCTGAATCTATCAACATGCCTTAGACTAGAAGTTAATGACTTCAAACACTGATGCCATGTTTTCGTTTAGCCACCCCTAACTTTCTTCCAACCATCGCCAATACTAGTCAGCATAGCGCGTCGTGATAATCGATGTTCAGGCATACGTAACACGTGGTCCAAACATTTCAGTCGATGAAGATTCATGACCTGATCAACTAATTTTCCATCATTCCCTAATACCCTGTGTCTAACCTTACTATTACTTACCCGATGATCCCAGTAGATGAGAGCAATATTTCTGAGACATCTGTATGTATTGGTTGTTTGAATCCTCCCATTAGTGTTTAGGGTTGCGATTGATCCGTTAATCGACTCATGTGCATCCTGTGCAAACTGCATCGATATTGTTATTAATTCTAAGCGTTTCAAGCAGAGATAGATAGAAGTTAACAGTAGAACTTAGGATTTATGATTGGTCCTATTTGAGACTCATCAGTTGGATGTGCCTTCACCCCAGAGTTGATGTTCACTCTGGGACTGGAACCCGGTACCGTTCGCTTCAAATGACATCGCATTATCCACCTAGCTACTAAATTCAGATGACCATTAGCTTATACATTGTGGTGGATTTTGATATATATATATATATATATATATATATATATATATATATTGGATTTCCGAATCGTCCCACTGTTGCTTAGGACTGTAATTGATCAGTCTGTAGATGGATAGCATTAACTAAATATATGATCACATATTTTTTTGAGATATGAGCACTCAAACTTAAACAGGCGGTCATTTCTTGAGATTATAACCTAGAGATCAAATACACAAGACATTAAAGTGACACTAGATGTTGTAATACGGTAGTCAGTGACTGAAGTACGTTTATAAACCATTTGATCTTCCAGGATGCTGAGGCTCATGTGCACAACTAGTCCACAATTTGGGTTCTTCAACTCCCCTATGTAAATATATTGTATCCACTAACCCTATTTAAGCATCGTTAGATGTTTGCTATAAAAAAGGTAGAGTCAGCCAAATCAAAACGTAGTACCACTTTATGATTTCATTGACTGTTCGTTTGAACCATTTCGATAGAAGTAGACTACATGATTAGGGTATGGGCCATAACCATAATGACCGCTTGGAGACATTGGATGACATGATTCAGAATCGTTCACAATAGAGCAGATGTACTCATTCTTTATTTTTTTTCGACCTTGAATTACAATATTCCTCCATGAATATCTTTCCACTCTGGAGTTAACAACCATATTCTCAATTTTCAGACTTTTTCATTACTAATGTTGCTCTATATTATTTCGATTACATTCTAATTCAATTTTTTTCAAATTCATCATGCTCTACAATATATAACTGTGTCATGATGTTAATAACTATCACATACAACCCTAATCAAATTGTAGAAAATATCTCTATTCAAATGTTACTAACTTGTAGATAAGGGTAGTGATTGGCCAGAACGACACTAAACGTAATACGTATAGTTATTTCTGGTGCTTGCTTTCCAATCCCCTAATCACTGCATAGATCAGTCAGTCAGTCACAACGTAGAACTTCGTACGTACATACGTACATCAGTTCGAGTTGCCATACCACATTAACACAGAGATTCAGTTGTCGATTCAAATAACATAGTGGTAGAAGCAGTAAGAGTATAAGCATTAATGTGAAAGATTAGGGTTCGAAGATGTTATTGAAGGAGTATAATCCACTGAAATAAATTTGAAAAGAGAAAAAAAAGGGACATGAAGAATTCAGAAGATTCGAATTTGGGAGAACACAAGGATTGGATACACCTTCGTCAGTGCAAACGATTTTCAGCCATGTCATTCAAGGTTTCGATTGCTATCGATTGCTATCATCTCGCGGATCACAACCAAGTAGTTTATACATAACAACATGGCTCAATCCACTTGTCAGTAACTTCATAGATTTGTGCCACGTTTTGGTCTGGCCGCTCATAGCTTTCTTCCAAAGAAGTGCATTGACCTTATAAAGGCTCTCTACTCGAACACAACTGGTCGAGTTAGAGCCTATGGCGAACTGTCATCAGAATTGATTACCTCAAGTGTGGTTTATCAGGGCTATCCACTCTCCACGTTCTTGTTTAACTTTGTCGTTGACATGCTCCTCAACCGAACTGTCTGGCATGGTAGGACCTTGAGGAACGATTGTTCCAGCCAGTATAGCTCGATTGGTTCATTACGATAGGCAAGCCCGACCACCATGTCAAAGTAGCAACAACCGAAGTGTGGCTGAAGGCCAGTTGAACTGATCCCTAAAGTTTTCTGCCCATCGATCCAATCTCCTGGATTGAAAATGAATGATATGTTCATCTTTATCCGAGATGATCATTGATGAATCAATTATCGAGAATAAATCATTTGAGTAAGTATATTCTTACAAAATGTTTGGCCACCATATTGTTATCCCCAGTACTCTTCGAAACCAAGTCCTTAAGCAGTTCCATAGCGGGCACCTGGGGATAAGTAAACTGAAGTCATTAGCTCGAAGCTACGCATACTGGCCATCAATGGACCATGATATAGAACAAAAGAGTCGCAGTTGTTAGTCCTGTTTAGAGGCCGCAAAGAACCCAAATAAAGCTGAACCGCAACCATGGCCAAAACCAGACGGTTCTTGGCAAAGAATACACGCTGATTTTGCCGGTCCTATACAATGCAGGAATTACTTGGTTGTTATCGACGCCAGAAATATACGATATGCCGAAATCAGAGAGTACAATAAGAAAATTTTCAGGATTATGTGCTTGTTTAGGGGTTCCCGAGATCGTGATTGACAACGGCACCCAGTTCATGTCATCTGTTTTTAAACGGTTCTACAATGAAAATGGCATATCACAACTACAGTCTCCTCCGTACCATCCTCAGTCGAATGGCCAAGCAGAAAGATTCGTGGATACTATAAAAAGAATTCTAGTCAAAGGGGGAGGAGTTGGTATCCCAGAACCAGTAATCAGCAAGTTCCCCCAATTCGGCAGTACCAGAAGGTAAGTCACCAGCCGAGTGCATGTTCGGAAAGAAAATCCGAACAGTCTTTAACAGTATGCTGTAACCTAGAAAGACAAGTAAACCCACGAATGAGTATCATATGGTCACTCGTAGGTTCCAGGTAGGTGAAAGGGTACCTGTTAAATCGTATCAAGGTGAAAGGAAATGGGAACCAGGTGTTATAGAACGTCGGATCGGAAGTTTAATGTACCTAATCTGAAGAAATGTCGGAACTTGTATAAGACATATAAATCAAATTCGAAGGGATGGAAGAACATTGATGCCACAAAGCCGACTCCCGTTTCATTTGCTCGTGGATTCATCGCGAAAACGCCCTCAGGCGCGCGAATGTATAAGAGATAAACGACGCAAGGGCAAAGCCACACAACCTTCGAGAGAGATGAGTCGCAAGAGGAATGCGGTAACCCAATTCCAAGTGGATCCCAGAAAAAGGTCTTATACAACAAACTTAAAAGGGGGGAAGTGTGAGGATGGTGCACAGGTGAAGTTGAAGAAGCTCTAAGAATCTCAGAAGGAGCCGAACATATTCCATCCAACCATCTTTTACAAGAATATTCTAGAATTACTACGTGTAGCTTCCCTATTGGACAATGCTGATAACTCCCTGTGTGCGGATTGGATAACTATAATGATGATTTCGTTTCTACTAAAAACTATAAATACCTGACAATTTTGTACCATAATCGACACTGTTTGGAATAACATTACTTCTAATTTTCTTCTGCCTTCTGATTTGTGACTTGAAGTGATTTTGGCGTTCGAGTGCTCAAGTATTATGCGACAGACTAAGAAATCTAAGTCCAAGATATAACATAACTAAGACAATTTATTCAGAAAATAACAGAAAATGAATTAGGTAAAATAAAATATATAATAGAACATGAATTAAAACATTTATTATATTGACTAAGTAGTAACAAAAATAGCCCCCAAATGCCCTGGTACAGCCGAGAGTGAGGAGAGTCCGCTCTCCCTCTCCAAATGCTCTCACATGGCCAGCGAATATATAGCCTCTGCCAGGGAAGTCCTACTCACTGCTTTCTTGTGGCATTACTGTTGTTTACGAAATTGAGAGGACGAAAAGCGAATGTCCGGCGCTATAACCGGATTGGTGGACATGGAGGGTCCACCTAGGGGAGTTGGAAAACCCTGATTCCAAACCAATGGTGCACATGGGTTCCAGTATCCTGAAGGAACGAATGGCGTATGAACCAATTGTTGGTCACCGGCTACCATGGGAATGCATCTCCTTACGATGCTCCACTGCCTTGTGGACTAGACCTTTAAGTCAAAGGCTCCGGGTGTGGCCCCCTAAGAAAACCACCTATTTCAGTCTGGGCACCTGGGCAGTATCACAGCCCTCAAGCAAATCGAATGAGATTTGTGTGGCGCATATTTATCTGGTGTTTCCTTGTATCAATATTTATGTGTTTAAATAAATAAATAATAAATAATAACAAAAATACAAACCTTCTTGACATGTTACATTATCCGGTGTACAGTTTAATGCTTGATCAACACTCCAAACAACTAACATTTCAGCATATGTTGGATTTAATTTTGTACCATAATTACCATTTAATGTTGGTAATGAACCAGAAGCACCAATTGTCATAATAATCATATCATTATCATAAAAATTTAATTTATTCATTGATTTTTGACATACCGGTATACCCCAACATAATGAATTTACTGTACCTGCATTACCTAATGTATAATTATTTAATAAATTAGTTGTTTTTAAATTAGATGATGATGATGATGATGATGGTGGCCAATGACTTAATAAACAAAGCATATGTTTTGGATAACGTAGATCCCATAATTGAACTATAGCATTTGGATTATTTGGATCAGCTATACATAAACGAGTTGCAACATCAGGACTCCATGACATCATTTGTGGTTCTAGCTGTAAATTTAAAAAAGAGAGAAGGGAAACATAAGTGTAATTTATAAACGATCTTTGAACGAATATTAAGTGACCTTGAGAAATGTTAGCCAATCAGTAAACAGTCAGCATAGAGTAAAAGTATATTATAAAAAACCAAAGAATTAAAGTGGATACACTTCTTCTATATGGTCCAAAAACTTATCAAGGTTAGAGTAAGGTTCAAAAGTTCCAAAATTGTAATGCATAAGGTAGACGAACTCATCCATATGGCTCCATAATAGTTGGTCTCTGGAACCATGATAAGGTCATAAAAACTCTCTCAGCCTCGACCACATAGTTTCAATATTGTTTGTGTGTACTCGGATTGTGTAAGTTTATCATTTTTATTATGGATATGTCCCCACAACACTCATACCACTGAACAGATGAAGCTTCAGTAACATCTGCGATTATTGCAGCCAATGTTACTGGTGCTTTTATAATACATTTTGTGGCAATTATTATAATATGCCTTGATCTCAATCTTGATCGAGCAATAAAGGTTCCTATGCTAGCAAACGTCTTCCTTCAACATATATTACATCAAAGGACAATATCACGTTAGTCCGCACAAGGTCTACAACTCATTTAACTTCTTAGTAGTCTTATTTGTTGTAGCCGCTAAATTGTCAAGTCTTTTCTAAAATTCTCTGTGAACCGATGGTACATGGGCATCAGGTATTGAAATGGGAGCCGTGACCTTGAAATCATTCAAACGCTTCTGATTGGCTCGTCCGTAAAATATAGTCTCGCCAAAAATTCGTATTCAACAAAAGATTTCTGACTAATTTCATTGAAGTTCTATGTAACTAACAGTTAAAACTCAACTCACAATGCAGCTCTGAATATTATTTAGTAAATGATTTTCATTAAGAACTGAAGTCAAGACCCATATTTAATATTTGGTGTCAGTTGACAGGATATCCTAGGCATACGTCTAGTCTCAATCATCACTCATCACTAAGGCACACTAGCAATAGTTTATTTATTTATTATTTATTTATACACATAAATATTGGTACAAGGAAGCACCAGATACATATGCGCCTCACAAATCTCATTTGATTTGTGTGAGGGTTGTGATACTGCCCAGGTGCCCAGACTGAAGCAGTTGGTTTTCTTAGGGGGCCACACCCGGAGCCTTCGACCTAAAGGTCTGATCCACAAGGCAGTGGAGCAACGTGAGGAGATGCATTCCCATGGTAGCCGGTGACCAACAGTTGGTTCATACGCCATTCGTTCCTTCAGGATACTGGAACCCATGTGCACCATTGGTTTGGAATCAGGGTTTTCCAACTCCCCTAGGTGGATCTTCCACAACCACCAACCCGGTTAGATCGCCGGACATTCGCTTTTCGTCCTCTCAATTTCGTAAACAACAGTAATGCCACAAGAAAGCAGTGAGTAGGACTTCCCTGGCAGAGGCTATATTACGCATGGCCATGTGAGAGTATTTCGAGAAGGAGAGCGGACTCTCCCCACTCTCAGCCATACCAGGGCATTTGGGAGCACTAGTAATAGTGAAAGAAATGATGCTTTATACGGGATTAGGATCCACGTAACTCAGATTCAAAGTTTCAATTCGTGTTCGGCCAATCTTCAGAAGTTTACGCTCAAAAACACATATAATATTGAATCTCAAGAGTTTTGAGTATTGCGATCAACACGAAAGTTAGATCAATCTGATAAAATTTAATTTTATGGTTCATATTATCAAATGCAGACAGTCAATCACAACGTAGAACCTGGTACGTATGTAGATCAGTTTACGTTGTCATACACTAATAGCATAAAAATGAAATTGTCAGACCACACCCCTGAATAATAGAGGTATTAGCAGTGTAAATGGTTATTCAAAAGACAAACCATTGAAGATACAATTGGTGAAATAAGAACAAAAAAGTTATGAGAAATTCAGAAGCTCAAAATTTGAGGGAAGATAAAGATTGGATGCACCTGTGCCATTGCAAACGAATTTGAGCCATGTTATTCAAAGTCTCTGATTATTGATTACGATAATCACATAGACATTAACCAGGTAACCTAAACTTATTAACATGGATAGGTCCAATGACTTCATGCTTTAATTTGGCTGCCCTCAGCTTTCTTCTAGCCTACTCCTACAACACGCAACATCGTTCATCGAGGTACGCGGTGGTTGAACATATGCAACACATGTCCCAACCATCTCAGTCAATAAAAATTTACTATCTTATTAATTAATTCGTTATCTTTACTCACTACCTTACCCATAAAATCAAGCTTCTTCACTTGATAGTCTCAAAATACACGAATGGTGCTTCGAAGACACCTATGATTGAATATCAGTAACAATTTAGTCTGTTAGAGGTATGAGGGCAGTTATCACTTCCCGGTTGCTCACACCGTGGAAGGGTTCTTCTAGAGGTACCTGAAAAGGAAATTGGGTTAGAAGTGGTCTTAATGGCCTCAGAGCGTGACCGCAGTGCCTAAGGGACAACTGCTTGAGGTCGGTCACACACGATCATTGAATATCCTCTATTCTTAATGCTCATGTTTCATACTCATTAAGTAGGATGGACAGAGTAGGAATTCACTTAAATGTGTTGTGAGTTTTTAGGTGCTCTAATACAGCCAATAAAAATGAAATCATAAAAAAAGATAATGAACTCACTTGACACATTGTTTTAGTAAGTTGTAAAACTGGTCCACTTTTACGTAAATCCCATATAACACAACGACCAATACTAGTTGTACATAATATGTGTTGAACACGTGGATTCCATGCAACTTGATTTACATTTTCTAAAGGCTGTTTTTTTTTAAAGAAACAAGGATTTTATTATATAATTAAGTATAAAAGATGATAATAAATACTGAAACTTGATTAGGTCGTTAACAGTCAGTCAGTCAGTCACAACGTAGAACTTTGTACGTACATACGTACATCAGTTCGAGTTGCCATACCACATCAGCACAGAGATGCAGTTATCGATTCAAATTCCATAGTGGTAGAAGTAGTAAGAGTATAAGCAGTAATGTGAAAGATTGGGGTTTGAAGATGTTATTGAAGGAATATAATCCAATGAAATAAATTTGGAAAGAAAAAAAAGATAGAGAGATAGGTCGTTATCACTTCTTGGCATGTTATAAACTCTTTTATTACGACGACTCAGCTACTTTTATTGCTTAGTATTCTCCGAACAATTTACTTCACTCGACTAGTTCCCAAATCAGAATATGGTTGAACAACAGGATAGTAATTATATTTCAAACAAACAAAGTAGAATGGGAGTAAGAACTACGATAAAAAGGATGTTAGTATATTTATAATCTTACACAAGAAGACTTTAGACTCTCCTCCAATTATCCGCTAGCGTTTATTGGCCATTTCTTGGTCAATCGCCTGTATTTTTCCCCTTTTCATGAGTACGATAAGCTTGATCAGCCCGGTCCACGAGTAGGCCTCGGTACTGTATAACCTTGAGGACTAACAAACTACATTCCCGGTCATAGCTCTTACCTTGATGTGTTGGTAAGGTTGCATATTATGACCACTTAATAGATCTATATTAGCTGGAACACTTGTTACTTTAGGTTCTACAATTTCAAACGAGTTAGTTGGACAACGGTACGACTAAAAAAAGGTTCGATAACAAAGTTTTATTTCAATTACTTGATTATTTGCACCTAATATTATACACTCTAAGTTACCTAAATAGAGAGACATTAAAAAATTTGGTTAGAATGTTAACCTACACCCTCTCAGAAAACCACTTACATACTCGTTATTTTTATTTTTGTAAACATATTCAAAGTATCCACGATGGTCATCCTTCGTTTTCAGATTGTCCCACCGAGTTTTCAATGCCCTAATTTATCATTCTATTCTCAAAGTCAATAGAAAAAGATTGATATTCAAATGGTCATTTTTGTTTCGCGAGTGCGGGATCGTGGATGCGCACTGCTGAGGAGTCTCGCAGTAGGACGAAACGGCCGTTCAGTGCTTCCAGGTTTTTCATGGTGGTCTAGCTTCAATTGACTCATGATTTCAACTATGAAAATACTGAAATATCCACAAAAACCACTTCTAAACTAATATGTCATAATTGATTGATCACTGGGTGATGATCAATGTCATGTGTATCAAGTCTGTCTTAGTGCTGATCGAATGCTATCGATCAAGTTGTAATGTGGCCACTAGTCTAGGTGGCTCGATACTGCGTGAACTATGTTGGAAGTGGTCAACAGGGAACCAATTCGTTTTGTAGAGTTCTCTGTCAATAAATTTTCCTTAAAAGACTTGGAATCTTTTTTGTGGTTAACTAAGGTTAGGAATTTTTAGCAGTCTATTGTCCCACAATCCTATCACTAATAAATTCTGACCACATAAAACGTTACTTACTTGTATTTTTGAACCGGGTGACATTGGATGTTCCATTTTTCCAACATCCCAAATAAATATCTCTTCATCGTTCGATGCTGAAGCAAAAAGATTTGTCTGTTACAAAAGAAGAATGGGAAGAAATAAGACAGAAACAAAATGAATATCTCACATAACAGACGGATGTTAACCAGGTAATGATTGAAAACCTGGAAGTACTAGATAATCGTTCTACCCAAGTATGAGACACCTTAGTTCAGCAATGTACACTCATGAACCCAATGTGGATCAAACTGAAGATATTACAACCTCAACGAAAGTGATGGACTCTTAGTCCACTGGACCGGTATCCAATGAATTATATGCCTAATTTCAATCAACTCACCATATTCTACAACCATCTTTCAACCCCCATTAGAAATATATCCATTAGTAGAAGCGATATATTGGATGCAAATATTACATCTAAGACCTAGATCATAATTTGTTTTGAACAGTGGGTGAGTGACCTACAAAGCAGCACATCATCTAATTGCACATGATATCTAATTATGTTTAATTTAGTTCTTGGTTATTTTTAAATAAACATGCTACTTTACCAGAGAAAGGAATCCTAATTTTGTTGGCCAGTGGTTTTGTCTTTAATACCTGTTGATTTGAGGTGTTGTGTTACTGATTCTGCCTTGTGAGCAACCATTAGCAGATCACATCACATCATTGCACTTCGATTAATGATCGACACTCTATATACGTATTATAAATCCTAAAAGTATACAAAATTTGTAAAATCCAAATATAGAGAAAGGGGGATTTCATTATGAATAAGAGAATCTCTAGTGTTGCTAGGGGTACGAGGGCAGTTGTTACTTCCCGGTTGTTCAAACTTTGACGGGATATTTTGTCTTGTGAGACCTGAAAAGGAAACTGGATTGGAATGTGACCACAGAGTCTAAGAGAACACTGCTGAAAGCCGTTTACATACAACCTTTCTGTCAGAAGTTCAAAATATGATAACTCTATGCTTCAAAAGGCCACCAGAAACCAGAATCCGTGAGGTGGGGTTAGATGTGACATTTCTGGGACTAACCATTCCTAACCTACTCTTTCCGTTATGAAACGACTGGATTGCTGCAAATGCTGATTGACTGAGACAATTATCTTACTGTATGGTAAATCAATAATTAACAAGTATTACTTAAATTAACAAAAGATTCATAAATCATTCGTTAAAGGTTATGAAAATTGTTGAGATCTGATTAAGATCATGAGTCGATCAATGTCAGACCAGTATTGAAAACCTGAAAACATTAAAAGACCATTTTGTCCTAGTATAGGACTTCTCAACAGTACTCCAGACCGAAAATTCTGAGTTCTAATCCCAAATGCAGGATCGTGAATGATCAGTGCTGAAAAATTCGAAACCACCCAGTATACTTCCAAACTTTCAATGGTAGTCTAGCTTAGATCAACTCATGATCTCAATTGATACATTATGAAAATTAATGTTCTATTTTGGGGGGAAGGGGGGGGGTAAAGGTTTACCAACCTGAAATCGATTGAAATCCAAACTTCTCACAACATTATTATGAATATTTTCACATGATTTATACAGATAATTTGATGTGTTATTCTCAGTAATATAAATAGATGATAATTGTTGAATAGATGTTGTTACATAATCATTTTCATTATTATCAGTAGTATTAGTATTAGTAGTATCCATGTGATTAATATGATAAGATTTATTAATATTATTAGTAATCTGTGATGATGATAGATGATTTTGACTTGCAGAAATTAATTTTTGACTATCATATAAATATAAACTACCTGACATTGAACCAATAATAAGTAAACCAAGATCTAAATGATCATTATTGATAGGTGATGTCCATAATAAACTTGTAGCTCTATTGATAAATAAACAAATAAATAAAAAGAAAGATTTATTTTATTTAAACAAGTAAATATTGGTACAAGGAAGCACCAGATACTGCCTAGGTGCCCAAACCGAAGCAGGTGGTTCACTTATGGGACCACACCCGGAGCCATTGACCTAACGATCTGATCCAAAAGACAGTAGAGCATCGTGAAGCGATGCATTCCCATGGTAGCCGGTGAACAACCAGTGGTTCATATGCCATTTGCTCCCTCAAGATACTAGAGTCCATACGCACCATCGCTTAGGAATCAGGGTTTCCCAACTCCCCTAGATGGACCTTCCGTGTCCACCAACCCTGTTAAAGCATCGGACATTCATTTTTCGTTCTCTCAATTTCGTAAACAACAACGGTGCCACGAGAAAGCAGTGGGTAGGACTTCCTTGGCAGAGGCTATATGTGCGTGGCCATGTGAGAGCATTTGGAGAGGGAGAGCGGACTCTCCCCACTCTCGGCCGTACCAGGGCATTTGGGGGCGTACCATTTTAAGACTTAATAAAAAAAATAAGTGAAGATAGTAATGCATAGTAATTCGTTTACATTGAATATCGATTAATGAATCCATTCTGTGTTAAATATTCATATAAATAACCTATTGTGCCAAGTTTTTTGTATTATAAGTTGGCAAATAAAAATCGATTGGAAAATTAACCGAAATGTCAAAAGTCACAAAAGGATTTCAAATAAGATAGGGATCAATGAACGGATGTTACATACTATTGATTGATATCAAAACATTGTCCAAAGCCACTTCTGTAAGCTTAATTATTTGTAATATTAAATGAATAGCCAGAAGAGTTTAACCGATTTAAAAAATGTATCATATTAAACAATGAAATATAAGGAAGTAACAGTTGGGAGCCATACTTTTGTTAAGATGCCTTGTGGATATAAAGTTATGGATGGATTGATATCAGCTGATGTGTCAGTGAAAATCAAGGAATACTAGGCAGCTCCTTTGTTGTAATTTAAGCTCTTTTAGCACTACATACCCATGAACCCTTCAGGGGTCAAACTCAAGAACTTCAGATTTCGTGGTGACCTTGACTTCTGTTATTTCGTGTTATACAACAAAAATTATCCAACTCAGTTCTATAAAGGCTAGGGATGTTTACAGAGACCTTATGATCCTAGACTTGATCCATAGACTATGGATGTTTATTGTTGATAGGTTCCAAACTGGAGTGAAATAACAATCAAGTGCATTTTCCTTCTTAAAGGGATCATGACTGATGTCCATCAATGACAAATAACACTTACAAATCGGGAAACTAGCACGAAATCACCCAGCTAATATCGATATTTAACACGACAAAAATTTTCAATCCTCTGATGAAGACAATACAAATGAGTAAATATGTAGTTACTTTCTAAAAATTAAGATTGGTTCATTCGTATCATAACAGAGTAATGTAAACTATGAGCAGTCATTCTTCAGTCATTAAAGGCAGATTATTCGAGACAATGTAATTTCAGGAAATATATTGAAAAATTAACAAGTTTTACCAAGTGGTGGCTTAATTTTTAAGTGCTCAACTTTTTACCAGTAGTAAACAAAAGTAAATTTTTCTCCACCCACTTGGGCATATAAGTCAGATAGTCAACTTAGAACTTCGTACATACTTACATCAGTTCGAGTTGCTATACAACATTAGCACAGAAATACAGTTGTCTATTCAAATCCCATCGCCTGTCGGGACAGTCGCTGGTTGGGCATACGTAACACGTGTCTCAGCCATCCTAACTGATGAAATTTTACTACTTCATCAATTGATTTGCCATCCTTACCAAGTACTCGTTTCCTAACCACTGTATTACTTACTCGGTGGTCCCACGATATACGAGCAATGATTCGAAAACACCTATGATCAAATACCAGTAGCCTAAGAATATCCCATACTCTTATCGGCCATATTTCTCTGCCATGAAGTAGGACGGAACAAACTGCTGTGCAGTGAACCCGTCCTTTAGTCGCCAGACGGATATCTCGTCTACGCCATAAATAACGCATGTTGGCAAAAGCTAGTCAAGCCTTCTGTATCCGTGCTGAGATTTCGTCACACACCAGACCATAAGGCCTGATGACACTCCCAAGATAAGTGTAGCGGTCGACACACCCAACTACTTCACTCCCTATGATTATTTCAGGTACCGATGCAACCCAATCCTGAAGTAACATTTTACATTTCGAGAGGGAGAATCGTATCCCGAACATGCCTGCATTACTGCTTGTAGTGGTCAGAAGACTCTGCATTTTGTAAGCGTCTTCACCAAATAGAACTATGTCATCGGCATGTTCTAAACCAACAAGTGAGTCTCCTGGTAGAAGTCCAACTCCTCTAAATTTAGACTAGGAAAGTGTTATTCCTAAAAGCACGTCAACGATAAAGTTGAACAAGAATGGGGAGAGTGAACAGTCTTGACGAACACCACACGAGCTAATCAATTCTGATGACAGTTTGTCATAAGCTCTCACCCGGCTAGTTTTGTTACGATAGAGAGCCTTCATAAGGTGAATGTACTTCCTTGGTACTCCTTTGAGTGACAAACACTACCACTAAACCTCAAAATCAAAGGAGTCAAATGCCGCCTTAACGTCGAGGAATACTGCGATTGTGGGACGTCTGAATGTGTTTCTATGTTCTAGGACCTAATGTAGAGTGAATACCACGTCCAGGTCTAAAACCAGTCTGGTTTTCTCTAGTCTGCTCTTTATGAGCTTTGGTTAGGCGTCCAAGTATTATTGAAGTTAATATTTAGACACTATATTAGTCAAACTGATTCCTCTGTGATTGTCACAAGAGGAATTTTGTCCTTTCTTAAAGACTGGCACAATTAGTGATTGGGACCAGTCAGATGGAATTACGTCCAGTTCCCAGATTCTGCCTAAGACCTCAGTCAACCTCGCAGCTAGTACTGGGCCGCCGTTCTTAAAATTCTCAGGGGTAAACCTGTCGGGGCCTGCTGCTCTCCCTCGCTTTAGATTTCATTTAGCTTTTTCAACCTCGTAAGGAGTTGGAGGACTTGGCATGAGAAACTGAATAATATCAATGACCCACATACAAATTATGAATCCAAGTTGAATACATAAACTTGTACTCAGTACATCAGTTACTTGAAATAAAAACCAGTACAACGTAAAATGGCATACTTAATTGGTAATTGTTACCACACTAAACACACGAAGACCCTATTGTCGTCATCAGAATGCAAATTTGGATCATTTAGTAATATAGTACGATGTGATACCACAAAACCGTCTGAAATATGACTGACCTCATTCATTTGTCCATGAGTAATAACACATCAATGGATAATTAGTTTTAAGTGCTGAATAAATAATGTCAATCACGAAAATGTAAAACAGGTGAACTATTAACTATAATATACATTAAAATGTATATGATCTCACCAAATAAATAATATGCTCACTAATGACTGACTCCATGAGGTATTTCCTGGAGTTCTAGTGAGAAGCAATGACAAGTGGAGTTCGACCAGGTCAGTTGGGAGATATCAACTCACTGAAGACATTAGTGAAATGGTTGCTCAACTTCGTAGTCTAGTTGAAGTTAGACATTAACACCGTTGAATGCCGGCCGGCTCAGTGGTCTATCAGTCAAGCGCTCTGCCTCGAGACTGGTAGGTCCTGCGTTCGAATCTCGCGAGGCGGGATCGTGGGTGCGCACTGCTGAGGAGTCCCACAGTAGGACGAAACGGCCGTCCAGTGCTTCCAGGTTTTCCACGGTGGTCTAGCTTCAATTGACTGATGATTTCAACTGTATATACAAATATTTATTTATTTATTTAAGCACATAAATATTGGTACAAGGGGGTACGAGATATATATGCGCCACACCCTGCTTCCGTTTGGGCACCCGGGCAGTATCACAGCCCTAGCACAAATAAATGAAATGACACTTTCTACTGACAATGTTATTCTCACTCCCAACAAATATATGAAAGATGGTTATTCTTCTATACACAAGCAGGAAGCCGCCTCTGATATTTATCTACTGATTTGTAGTATGAAGATTTAGAAATTTCTTGAAGACAATAAACTATATAAAATAAATATATGCTGGTTATATGATAAAATAGGCGTAAAAGGAAGTATAAACTGTCTAAAAAATAGAACGAATCAATAAGTTCGGGTTTATATATATAGAAATATGCCAGTGATGGATACCTATATACCTATGAATAGTAACTTAAGTAAATATTTACAGGTTTGATAAATATGTTATTTCGATTAGACACATGTACATACACACCTATACAACACAATAAACAATAAGATTAAACAAATTTTACTCTGACTAAATTCCATGTTGGTAGGTGTAGACTACCTGGTTGGGATGCGCGAGATAATAGCAACCGATGGTTAGAGACTTTGAATGAAATGGATCAAAATCGTTTACAATTGTGAAGGTGCATTCACTCTTTGTGTTCTACCAAATTATAATCTTCTGAATTCTTCATGTCTTTATCTTTTTTTCTCTCCAAATTTATTTCACTGTACTATACTCCTTGAATAACAACTTCAAACCCCTATCTTTCGGATTATTGCTTAAACTCTTACTAATTCTACCACTATGGGATTTGAATCGACAACTGCATCTCTGAACTAATGTGGTCAGTCAATTAGTCAGCTATAACGTAGGACCAGGAACACATATGCATCAGTCCAAGTTGCCATACCTCGTTAGCACAACAAGATGAACACCGGATTCAAAGTGGTTAATTTAGTGGTGGTGATATATAAAACAAAGGTTGTATATAAGGATATAGTATAGGAAGAAAGAAAGTTATGAAGCAATTTTAATCTCAAGGTTTAAGGGAAGATAAAGAGTGTATACACCTACGCCATTGTGATCGATTCTGAGCCATGTCACCTAGAGTCTCCAACCACTGGTTACGATAGTCACGCGGACCCCAACCAGGTAGTCTGCATCTGCCAACATGGTTCAGACTAGAAGTTAGTGACTTCAAACACTGATGCCATGTTTTGGTTTGGCCGCCCCTAACTCTCTTCCAACAATCCCCTACACTAGTCAACATTGCGCGTCGTGGTAATCGGTGTTCAGGCATACGTAACACGTGGCCCAACCATCTCAGTTGATGAAGATTCATCACCTCATCAACTGATTTACCATCGTTCCCTAATACCCTGCGTCTAACCTCACTATTACTTACCCGGTGATCCCAGCAGATGCGAGCAATATTTCTAAAGCATCAGTGGTCAAATACTAGTAACCTACGAGTATCTTCTACTCTTAATGGCCATGTTTCACAGCCGTAAAGTAGAACAGAGCGAACTGATGCGCAGTATACTCGTCCCTTAATCGATAGACGGATATCTCGTCTTCGCCATAGGTGACGTAAGTTGGTAAAAGCCAAACGAGCCTTTTGAATCCGTGCTGAGATTTCGTCAGACATCAACTCATTAGGGCTGATCAGACTTCCAAGATAAGTGAAGTTGTCGACGCGTTCGACTACTTCACTCCCTATCCTTAGTTCGGGTGTTGACGCAGGCCAGTCCTGGAGTAACAATTTGAAGGCTCCAATGTGCAGTTTGGAGCGAGGTTTTAGTAGACCTGGGACAGCGTTTTACGCACTAGAATCGTTGGCCATGGTGACACTTGAGGAGGAAACCAAGAGAGGAAGTTTAGTGTTGAAAGTCAAGGTAGAAGGAATAGTAGGAATTGAAAAAAGAGATTGATTATGAATACAGTGGTCTTGAGTGCTGTTAGAGGTATGAGGGCAGTTATCACTTCCCGGTTGACCACACTGTGGAAGGGTTCTTCTAGGGGTGTCTGAAAAGGAAATTGGGTTAGAAGTGGTCTTAATGACCTGAGAGCGTGACCGCAGTGCCCAAGGGACAACTGCTTGAGGTCGGTCACACACGACCTTTTTGTGGATAGTTTTTGTGTTAGCTCCGTTCTTCAAAAAAAAACCTTACCGCCGGAGACGGACATCCGTGGGATAAGGCGAGGTGTGCATTTTAGGGTCGACCTTTTCTAACCCCACCTCTCCTTGTGGGAAGGCAGCATCGATGTCATGCTGGTTGTCTGAAGGAAACACCTTACTGCTGTCACACCTCTGTACAGTCAGCAGTACGACTTCGCCTTCGGACCTTGGGTACTAATGTGGTATAGCAACTCGAACTCATATACGTACGTAAGAAGTTCTACGTTGTGACTGACTGACTCTGATAAAATTATTATTAGTCACGGATAATTAAAAGTATTTCTATGAGTCTAGATATTGTACCTTAAAGTGGTAGTTAACAAATATGGATAATGCCATTGATTAAAAGGAAATAATTTAATTTTAAATACTACCTCCGTTTACTAGTAGTCTAAATAGAATTACATAGGAGTAAAGTTTGAGAGTATTATACATACACATGTTTACAAATGAAGGCTACCTAGGCTAACTGATGTTGAAATATTTGACAAACAGATACAAATGTTTATACTTAGCTTTGAGCCATACTGAATACAAAAGCTAATAGTGCCATCTGGTTGTCCAAACAGAAGTAGAAGGGTGAGGCTGGAACCTGAAACTCATTAAGTGCATTGGCCTTTCATCATTAAACGACAACAATCTATAAGTAGAAAAGTTAGATATTTACCAGCAACAACTAACTTAACTACCATAAAATCACCGCAGAGTGGTAGGTTAGTGTTTAAGGTGACCGACTTTTACCCAATAAGCCCCAGATTCAAGGCCTGCTCCACCTAATCTGATTTCAGCAACCGAGTAGTATATCATTATTCCTTAAGCTTAGAATCGATCACAATGGCGCAGGTGTATACACTCTTTATCTTACCTTAAACCCCGTGGATCAGATCTTTAGGTCAAAGGCTCCGGGTGTGGCCCCCTGAGAAAACCAACTGCTTCGGTTTGGCCACCCGAGCAATATCACAGCCCTCATTCACACAAATCAAATGAGATTTGCGTGGCACACATGTATCTGGTGCCCCTCTGTACTAATATTTATGTGTTCAAATAAATAAATATATAGACCTTGAGATTAAAATTGCTTCATATCTGTCTTCCTTCCTATACTATATCTTTATATACAACCTTTCTTTTATATATTACCACCATAGAATCAACTACTTCTATGAATTCGGTGTTCATCTTGTTGTGCTAATGAGGTTATGGCAACTTGGACCGATGCATATATGTGCCTGGTCCTACGTTGTAGCTGACTGACTGATAATAAGTATGACTAAACAAAGAAAAAAAAACATGAATCAAGAAGTGTGATATGTAAAACGAAAAGGAAACTAAAGTATGATTCACTATTTCTATTTATTAGATTACAGTACTAGAAGTTTTTATTAACTTCCCACTTTTATGGAAACGTAGATTTCACATGAAAGAAAGGGATTTCATAGTATGGATTATAAATACAAATCTATATAAATGTATTTGAAGATAGGCATAGGACTGGATTCAAACATGGTTGTACCAGGATATTCTTAGAATAAATCATATTGTTCAAAGGAAAGTGGTAAATTATAGACTAATAGATCCAAATATAAAACATAATTCGAAAAAAAGGGAACATTCACACCATCAATTTAATTGTAGTTCTATTTATGGATAATTCTCAATCCATGGTAGTACGATAGTGCTTTAAATAAACAGATTGACTGGTACTTGAAGGCTTAGTGATTAAGAAGCCTAACTTACAACCGCAAAGTTCTAGGTTCGAACCCCACCCCTCTTGTCTTTGTTGAGGCAACCGGATAGTATAAATTCACATCGTATTGTTTGTTTGAATCTTCCTATTGATGTTTAGACCTGCAGCTGGTCAGTCTCTAGTTGGCATAGGTGCATATTGCCTCGATATAGCCTTAATTCACAAGTATTTTATAAGCAAAGATGGATAGTGGTTAGCAGTGGAATCCAGGACGCGCGTTTCGTCTTATTTGGGACTCGTTAGATGGATGTGCCTGCATCTCAGAGTTGATGTTCACCCTGCGACTCAAACCCAGTACCGTTTGCTTTAAAAGCGATCGCGTATTATTAGCCTTCACACTAGCTGAAGCCAAATTACATGGTGATTTAATTTACCCGTCATTATTATTTATTTAGATGATTTTAAGAAAAATGAATTTTAATAGTCGAGATCATGAATCAATTGAAGCTACACCACCATGGAAAACCTGGAAGCACTGGACGGCCGTTTCGTCCTATTATGGGACTCCTTCTCGGTTTTCCATGGTGGTCTAGCTTCAATTGATTCATGGTCTCAACTATTAAAATTACTATAATATCCACAAAACCCCTTCTGATAATAATCAACATATGCTCACTAGTGACTGGCTCCATGAGGCATTTCCTGGAGTTCTAGTGAGAAGCAGTGACAAGTGGAGTTCAAACAGGTCTGTTATGAGATAGTAACTCACTGAAGACATTGGTGGATGTATCGCTCAATTTCGTGGATCGGTTGAAGTTAGACATTAACACCATTCAATGCCGGCTTAGTGGTCTAGAGGTTAAGCGCTCGCGCTCGAGATTGATAGGTCCTGGGTTAGAATCTCGCGAGGCGGGATCGTGGATGAGCACTGCCACTGAGGAGTCCCACAATAGGACGAAATGGCCATCCAGTGCTTCCAGGTTTTTCCAAGATGATCTAACTTCAATTAATTCATGATCTCAACTACCCACAAAACCTCTTCTGACAAAAATGAATTTGTTACACATTTATGACACTTGTAAATGTAACAACATTCTTTTAAATTTTTCATTTAAAACGAAACATCTAAAAAGAATAAAACGTTGACTTACTTTTCTTTAATTTGTAAACTAACATTCATTTGCATAGACATATTACTTTCCTTAACATTGAATTCATAAATATCTAATGTCGGAGAAGTAATGCTAAATTATAAAAGATATAATGAAATTATAAAGAATTTATTTAGTTTATTTAAACACATAAACATTGATATAAGGAGGCACCAAATACATATGCACCACATTTCATCATTCGATTTCCGTCACGGCTAGGATAATATCTGCGTGCCAAAACTGAAACAGATGACTTTCTTGGAGGGCCCCACCCGGAGCCGTCAACCTAAAGGTCTAATCCACAAGGCAGTGGAGCAACGTTAGGAGATCCAGTCCCATAGTAGACGGTGATCAGCAATTGATTCATACTCTATTTATCCCTTCAGGATCCTGAAGACCATGTGCAAAATTAGTTTACAATTACGGTTTTCCAACTCCCCTATGTGGATCCTCCATAACCACCAACCCGGTTAAAGTACTGGGCATTCGCTTTTGGCCCTCTTACCTTCGTAAACAATACTCCCACCACGAGAAGGCAGTGAGTAAGACTTATCTGGCAGTGGTTGCATGCACGTGGCCATGTGAGAGTATTTCGATAGGGAGAGCTGGCTCTTCCCGCTCTCGGCATTTGGGGGCAAAAAAATCATTCGATCCATGAGACAGTGCATTTCTTACTGAATACAATCTGGATAACTTTTATTGTTGTAAACTTTAGTAGCCTAAAACATCTCGCTTGTTCAAAAGATTGATCTTTCAAAGTAAGTTTTTTTATAATAATGAAAAATGACAAGCACTCAATATTAAAATATATTTATTCATACATTCGAAACCCACTTTAGTTTACCCCGGGGTTTAACGAGCTAATTATCATTTATGACGCTTGCAAAAATGTATTTCAAAGAATGATATGCTTACATTCATGAGATTACTATATTTAAACACATCTATATACGTTGAGATCATGATAGATTGACATGATATTTGTGGTTATACGCACATACTATCACTGAGATATAAATATTAATCTTGTATACACATCGAAAACTCTGTCTTAGCTCCTCCGGAGGCTACTGCCGGTCCCAAGTCCGGATAAAGGAGGAGGGTTGGGCATGGGTTAACGACTCCATTCTGTAGAAAACCAACTCACTAAAAAACGCTAACCAGAGAAAATTATTCAAACCATTTAAACTCTGCCCTGAGAGTTGAAGGAATAATTATGACGCCTTATGATGAAAGCTGAGTTCCTTCGGAAGTCTTGCGGCCGATGCACATTCTCTTTCTCCTGGTGATCGACTGCACCATGAAGACGTCAACATCTGGAGGGAAGCACAGGATACAATGGACAGCTAGGATGCAACTGGAAGATTTAAACTTCGCAGATGATCTGGCTCTTCTATCACACACGCAACAACAAATGCAGGAGGAGACGACCAGTTTAGTAGCAGTCTCAGTAGCAGTAGGTCTCAATACAAACAAAGGGAAAAGCAAGACTCTCCGATACAATACAGCATGCACCAATGGAATTAAACTTGAAGGGAGAAGCTTTGAAGGATGTGGAAATCTTTACATATCTGGGTAGCATCATCGCTGAACACGGTGGATCAGATGCAGATGTGAAGGCGCGGATCGGCAAAGCGAGAGCAGTACATTTACAACTGAAGAACATCTGGAACTCAAAACTATTGTCAACCAACACCAAGATCAGAATTTTAAATACAAATATCAAGACAGTTCTACTGTATGGGATGGGGACGTGGAGAACTACGAAAGCAATCATCCGGAAGATACAAGTGTTTATTAACAGTTATCTACGCAAGATACTTCGGATCCGTTGGCGAGACACTATCAGCAACATTCTATTGTGGGAGAGAACAAACCAGATTCCAGTGGAGAAAGGAATCAGGAAGAAGCGCTGGAAGTGGATAGGATACACATTGAGGAAATCACCTAACTGTGTCACAAGACAAACCCTCACACGGAATCCTGAAGGCCAAAGGAGAAGAGGAAGACTAAAGAACACATTACGCCGAGAAATGGAGACAGACATGAAAAGAATGAACAAAAATTGGATAGAACTAGAAAGGAAGGCCCAAGACAGAGTGGGTTAGAGAATGCTGGTCGGCGGCCCGTGCTCCTTCGGGAGTAACAGGCGTAAGTTATTAAGTAATGAATTAGGTGTTTATCTTGTGCTAATGAGGTATGACAACTTGGACTGATGCATACATGTGCGTGGTCCTACGTTGTAGCTGACTTACTGATATACAATCCCCAAATTATAGGCTTGATGGATTAAGGATATACGAATAATGCTCGGAAGCCGAATATGACCAAATACTTGTAACCTGCACTTGTATCTTCAAAGATCATGATTCATACTCATAGGGTTTTTATTTATTTTATTTAAACACATAAATATTGGTACAAGGAAGCACAAGATACATATGCGCCACACAAATCTCATCCGATTTGTGTGAGGGCTGTGATACTGCCCAGGTGCCCGGACTGAAGCAGGTGGTTTTCTTAGGGGCCCACACCCGGAGCCTTTGACCGAAAGGTCTGATCCACAAGGCAGTGGAGCATCGTGAGGAGATGCAGTCCCATGGTAGCCGATGACCAGCAGCAGGTTCATTCGCCATTCGTTCCATCAGGATACTGGAGCCCATGTGCACCATTGATTTGGAATCAGGGTTTTTCAACTCCCCTAGGTGGACCCTCCATGTCCACCAACCCGGTTAAAGCGCCGGACATTCGCTTTCGTTCTCTCACTTTCGTAAACAGCACCCCCACCACGAGAAGGCAGTGAGTAGGACTTCCCTGGTAGAGGCTATATATTCGCTGGCCATGCGAGAGCATTTCGAGAGGGAGAGTGGGCTCTCCCCACTCTCGGCCATACCAGGGCATTTGGGGACCAATACAAAAAGAACTACTGAGAAGTATCTCGTCACTTCGGTCAACCGACAAACATACTACCACAGACACTAATGGCTTAGATTAGTAAAATCGAAATGATCCTTTGGTAACTGTTCCGAGATTTTGTCACCGATCAAGTTACTGAAGCTAACATAATGAAGATGATGGAAATGGTTCAGTTGTTCGACTAGTTCACCTCCTACGGTTAAACCACGCACTGATACAGGGTGTAAACAACGGTCTTATTTCTTTATCACGAAAAAAACATCAAGACAAGACTAGAATCAAAAAGCTTAACATTTCTGCATTTTTCATCCCAGATGGTGTGAATATTTTCACATTAATACTGAATTCGGTAACTTTCGAAGCAAATGTCTGAAAAACATGATTACCTTGTATTTATATTTGAGCCAGTTGCCTCGCGATCATCTTCTGCGGTGGCAGTTGCCAAATAAGTACGATTGCATGAAAGAGGTGACCAGGCCGAATGAGCGAACTTCTCCAACTCTTTGACTTTCATTGTCAGTTTAGAAAGTCTGAAGAAAAAACAGTACCAAGGAAGTATATGTTATGAATGTACAGCCTGTTAAATAAAACAAATTTTATCACAAACGCTTAAGGTTTGAAAAAATTATCGCCTGAAATATCTGTTATACAGTATCATCCATACTTTAATTCCGTGTTCTCAAAACCATAAAATATAAACATAGTTTCCTTGAAACCACTTAACGTAAGAAAAAACCACCAAACTGTTCCTAAAAGACACAATACAAGCGCGATTTCGACGGACAAACGTTTAAGGCAAGTTATTGGACAGACGGTAGTTATCTAATGTGAGCAGATCCGAAGCAAAATTAAGTTTGTTTTGATATTTAACATCTTATATATCCCACGGAAATGGAAACCTTAAGAACCAGTAATAAATACGGGCTTATCCATCTACCCCACCGATACTTATTTTGATATACTCAGCCTACATCGTGTGTTATGGTATATGATGATATCCTATACAATCTAAAGCGTATGAACAAATGCAGTAAGACTTGGTACCGTAACATGCTATTGGTCTGCGTCTTACTGGACGTAGGAAAGACGCTGCAGCGAAGCCTCTAAGAGTTTTACTTAATGATAGCCAAGCTAAGAATATATTTCAGAAACAACTAGAAAAACAGTTAGGCAGCCATGTAAGTTATGCCCACTCCGAGGCAGCGTGGAATGACATCCGAAAAGCTGAGGAAAAATCAGTGATATCTGATAGTGCGGTAAACCATAAAGTTAGGTAGAAACATTGGATCTCAGCAGCATCTACCGCACTGATAGATGCTCGCAAACTCATCCCATCTGGCTGTGAACATAACGAAGAGCGAAGTTAACTTAAGCGAAGGCTAACAAGACCATTCAATGATCAGGAACAGTGGTGGGTAGCGAAAGCAAGAGGGATGGAAAAGGCAGCGGCAATAGGTAACAGCAGGAAACTGTTCAGACTTCTTAAGGAAACCGGTACTAGGAACCCAACTGATAGCGAAACTAACTCGGTAAAAGATGTATATATTATTCATTCTCATTCCAGGAGATTAACTTGATGGGCAGGGCAATTTTAGGGTTAAGTTCAACTGGCTTTCAGCCACGCTTAAGTTTCCCACGACCCCCAGTCGACTGAATGGTAAGTTGGTGTAAGTCCTCCAACTCCTTACGAGGTTGAAAAAGCTAAATGAAATCTAAAGCGAGGGAGAGCAGCAGGCCCCGACAGGTTTACCCCTGAGAATTTTAAGAACGGCGGCCCAGTACTAGCTGCGAGGTTGACTGAGGTCTTAGGCAGAATCTGGGAACTGGACGTAATTCCATCTGACTGGTCCCAATCACTAATTGTGCCAGTCTTTAAGAAAGGACAAAATTCCTCTTGTGACAATCACAGAGGAATCAGTTTGACTAATATAGTGTCTAAATATTAACTTCAATAATACTTGGACGCCTAACCAAAGCTCATAAAGAGCAGACTAGAGAAAACCAGACTGGTTTTAGACCTGGACGTGGTATTCACTCTACATTAGGTCCTAGAACATAGAAACACATTCAGACGTCCCACAATCGCAGTATTCCTCGACGTTAAGGCGGCATTTGACTCCTTTGATTTTGAGGTTTAGTGGTAGTGTTTGTCACTCAAAGGAGTACCAAGGAAGTACATTCACCTTATGAAGGCTCTCTATCGTAACAAAACTAGCCGGGTGAGAGCTTATGACAAACTGTCATCAGAATTGATTAGCTCGTGTGGTGTTCGTCAAGACTGTTCACTCTCCCCATTCTTGTTCAACTTTATCGTTGACGTGCTTTTAGGAATAACACTTTCCTAGTCTAAATTTAGAGGAGTTGGACTTCTACCAGGAGACTCACTTGTTGGTTTAGAACATGCCGATGACATAGTTCTATTTGGTGAAGACGCTTACAAAATGCAGAGTCTTCTGACCACTACAAGCAGTAATGCAGGCATGTTCGGGATACGATTCTCCCTCTCGAAATGTAAAATGTTACTTCAGGATTGGGTTGCATCGGTACCTGAAATAATCATAGGGAGTGAAGTAGTTGGGTGTGTCGACCGCTACACTTATCTTGGGAGTGTCATCAGGCCTTATGGTCTGGTGTGTGACGAAATCTCAGCACGGATACAGAAGGCTTGACTAGCTTTTGCCAACATGCGTTATTTATGGCGTAGACGAGATATCCGTCTGGCGACTAAAGGACGGGTTCACTGCACAGCAGTTTGTTCCGTCCTACTTCATGGCAGAGAAATATGGCCGATAAGAGTATGGGATATTCTTAGGCTACTGGTATTTGATCATAGGTGTTTTCGAATCATTGCTCGTATATCGTGGGACCACCGAGTAAGTAATACAGTGGTTAGGAAACGAGTACTTGGTAAGGATGGCAAATCAATTGATGAAGTAGTGAAACTTCATCAGTTGAGATGGCTGAGACACGTGTTACGTATGCCCAACCAGCGACTGTCCCGACAGGCGATGGGATTTGAATAGACAACTGTATTTCTGTGCTAATGTTGTATAGCAACTCGAACTGATGTAAGTATGTACGAAGTTCTAAGTTGACTGACTGACTGACTCGATCAATCAAAAACGAGATTAGTAGAACCTGGTATAAACGTATATCCACCTGTGTTTTTACACGTTGCATTGGAACGGTGGATGGAAATTAACAAGGCTAAAAGCAAAGAAGAAAGAATAACTTCAGGTTGAATCGATATGATATTATTCAATGTATTTTGAAGAGAGTGAACCACAGAGTACGGCTATATCACGGATAGCAACCAAGGTTTCTGTAAACAACTCAGCTTAACAGTCATTGAATTCATAGACAGATTCCGTGTAGTCTTTTAATATCTACATCATTTTTAACTTCCAGTTGGTTTAGCGAAAGTCATAGCACTTTATAGGACGCAATCACAACATAATTGGTCAAAATAATACACGAAAACAAAATTGGAGATGCGAGGGAACAAATGTGACTGACGACCCATGCTAGTAGTCAATTTTGTGAACAACTATTTAAGGGCTTTGCCAATTTCTAAGAAGTTACTTTACCATCAGTCACTCAGTGTAGCTAACCAGAAAATAGCCGAATGACCACCTTTGGCAAGCATAGAGACACTGGGTGGCTTTCGTGGAAATACAGCCGCGTTCCAATTAAGCAAGGTAACCGTCATTTGGGTGGGACAAGAGACATCCCCGGAAATTAATTTCGATGAAGCAGGAGATTTTATAAAATAACGTTTCCCAATACATAGGAAACATTCGCGGAGAACTAGAATATAACTCATCAGGTGCCTTATCCCTTTTTATTATATTTCGTCACTATTTTTATCGATTAGAAGGTTGATAGTCATAGACTTGTAAAATGTACCTGAATTTAGATGAATGATCTTTGTATTACACTTATGATTCCATATACACTGCTTGGTTTTTGCCGAAAAGATAGTTCCGAAGAATTTGATAACCAAATATTTTACATGATTAGTTTTCTTCTTAATATTGACTTATATGAGTCATATATATATAAATATATATTTCACTATCATTGATGTCTGATTTACTTAATCTGGAAGCAGAACCAATCCTACTAATAAAAATTCAAATGTAACGAAAGAGTTTGTTTTTTCTGTGAAAATACTCTTTCTTAAATCCGAAAAATCCAAGATAACAACACGAACTCTTACATACACGTTTACACAAAAACCGTTGGTACCGCCTAATAATACGTTGGCATTGACCTTGATAAGGTGTCCAATAAACAGTGCCCAATACTCCGTACATTGAGTTCATGTGATCCAAACCGTAGCTTAACGATACTGCGTTTACTAGCCGTGAACAACTATATAGAAGCGAACAGAAATAAATGAATGTGCTGATATTGCGTGTTCTGACAGAGAATTCCAGTAATTCACTACTCGGTGCGAGAAATGAAACGAGGATTTTGCTTAGATAAACTCCACTTTTTACAGGTTCCCACTACGAGAGAGCTCCAATTACTCTTGCCCATTGTCTTTTGTCACGGAGGAAGTCACTTATACAGTCTATGACCGTATAATGAACTCCAAAACTTTCCAGTCTTAATTCAAGACCAGGATGGGAGACCTTATCAAAGGCTTTACTTAAATATATAGAAATCAAATCTACAGGGGCATTTCTATCTTTTGCAGCATCTTAATCTTCTCTTGCAATGAGAAGGTTTGTCAAACATGATAGGCCTTTCCAAAAACCATGTTGTTCCCTGGATAAAAGATTATTCCCTTCCAAACAGTCTATAACAGCCATCCGAATAATTTTTCCCATCAGTTTTACAACTGCACTAGTTAAGCTAACGAGGCGATAGTTACTAACTACTCCCAACCTTATACACCAGATCGATTTTCGCCTTTTTTCAGTCTCCTAGCAGTCTGGACTGCCGCAGAGAAATATCAAACAGTGTCGTTGAAGTTTCAGCAATTTCATCTGATAGGGCTTTCGTAATCCAAGTATGAATATCCTAAAAAACCACTGTGCTTACCAGATTTGAAATGCTGAAGTATTCTTATGACAGCATTTTCCTCAATAACTACAGGATCCATTGATAAGCCACCCCAAGAACAATTATTCGTTGATCATTACTCAGTGGTGAGAGAAATCACTACTAAAATATATCGATAAAGCCTCAGCCTTTTCAGCATAATCTCTTGGCAATATTAACAGGTTTTCTTGTATCAAAAGTGGTGGATTGCATTGCTTCTCTGAGTTCGACGTTTTATATATGAGAAAAACCATTCCGGATTATGTTTACAATCCCTAACCAGTCGTTTTTCATACGACTGTCTAGTCTTACTAATTAACGCTGTAGTGCCGCGATTCGTTAACCGTTTACTTCGATAACCGTTATAATTCTAAACTTAACGGTGCGTAAAATCAGAAGACAAAGGATAGCAGCAACTACAGTTTATTGTCGAATGACTCAGGTTCGAAAGCTAACAACACCTGAGCGAATATGAACGAGCGAGTGAACAGGCGAACAAGCGAAGGAAACGAACGAGGAGCAAGCGAGCGAGCGAGCGAATAGCAAGCAATTACATAGGCAATTTATAGTCAAATTTAATAAGGGCACAGCAAAGCAAAACAAAGGCTAATAATAATATTTGTGTGCGTCCATATATGGGGAGGAGTGTGAGTCATCGAATGATATTTAAGCAGTCAACATTTCGGCTAGAGTGTCATGTGCTCTAGTGGTATAGCAGTGCAAAGAATATGCAAATTGTTACTATCCAAATGACAATGTCTGTTAAGTAAGTTATAAAAAAGGGCTTAACCAAAATTGGCTATAATCGAAAGTGATTGTAGGATGGTTGCTATAACGCTTTACAAGCATTCCCAATCTTAGAATAACTGGATCTGTATTCTTCTAAGTCAGTAAAGATGAATATTTTCCAGTGCTTTTTCCTACGTCTAAGAAGTTTCTTGACTTGTTTAGTTATCCATGGTGGGCTATTATTCGGTCTATGTTGTATCAGGTATGGTATAGACGAG